CCTCCACGCTGGGTGAGCGCGCCGTGAGCGTGTCAGCTGGCTTTAGTCAGAGCCTTGCCCTCACCGCCAACGGCGCCGTCTGGAGCTGGGGCCAGGGAGGCTTGGGCGCGCTGGGCCACGGCGACCATGAGGATCAGTGGCAGCCGACGAAGATCGAGGCCTTTGCTGGCCAGCGCGTCGTTGCTGTGTCGGCTGGTTACCACCACAGTCTCGCCCTCACCGCCGACGGAGCCCTCTGGAGCTGGGGCTGGGGAGGCTTTGGCCAGCTGGGCCACGGCGACAAGCAAGAGCAGCTGCTGCCCAAGAAGGTCGAGGCCTTGACTGGCCAGCGCGTCGTCGCCGTGTCGGCTGGAGCGTTCCACAGCCTCGCCATCACCGCCGACGGCGCCGTCTGGAGCTGGGGCTGGGGAAGCTTTGGCAAGCTGGGCCATGGCGACCAGCAGGACCAGCTGCTGCCGAAGAAGGTCGAGGCCTTCACTGGCCAGCGCGTCGTCGCTGTGTCGGTTGGAGCTCTTCACAACCTCGCCATCACCGCTGACGGCGCTGTCTGGAGCTGGGGCGATGAAAGCTATGGCCATTTGGGCCACGGCGACCAGCAGTACCAGCTGCTGCCCAAGAAGGTCGAGGCCTTGGCTGGCCAGCGCGTCGTCGCTGTGTCGGCAGGAGAGCGTCACAGCCTCGCCCTCACCGCTGACGGCAGCGTCTGGAGCTGGGGCGATGGAGGCGACGGCCGGTTGGCCCACGGCGACCAGCAGGCCCAGCTGCTGCCGAAGAAGGTCGAGGCCTTGGCTGGCCAGCGCGTCGTCGCTGTCTCGGCGGGAGGCAGCCACAGCCTCGCCCTCACCGCCGACGCCGCTGTCTTCACCTGGGGCAAGGGCGAGAGCGGCTGCCTAGGCCACGGAGAGGACCTGTCGAGCCAGCTGCTGCCCAAGAAGGTCGAGGCGTGGGCGCCGGGGCAGTGATGAGAAGGGCGAAGGGTGCAAGGCTCTGTGTTGCCACGTCGCACGCCTCTTCGCGCCGCCGGCACTGGGCTTGGGCGGCCCTCCGCCGACGCTCGCCACTTGCGACGTATGCGAGAGTTGCGAGGGGCGAATTCGGGAATGTACCGTATAGAGTGCAGCGACGACCCTGCAAGGGCGGCTCCCCCGTTGTAGAGGGCCGTACTCGGGTGAAACCAATTCTTTTTGTTTGTCGACCCCTCACCCCTCCACTGGACACAGCACCCTCGGGGTAGGCGCACGCGCGCGCGGGTGAGGGTCCCCCGGCGGGGAAGGGGGCGGAGCTCTGGGGGGAGGCGCGGGGGCCGGCCGGGCGAGAGCGAGGCTTGACACGATCCGACCCTGCGATCCTGCTATACACGGCGGGCCGCAGGTATTCGTCCACACTCACTGCTCCGCTGTGCACTCCGCTGTGACTTTTGATGTTGCACAGATAGATAGCGGCCGACACGACAAAGAGAGGGTTTGAGCAAAACGTAGGGCGGAAGGAAGAAGGCGGGGGGCAGGCAGGGTGTGTGTGTGTGTATGTGTGTGTCTCAGGCGCTCAATCTGCCGATGCGTGATTGTGTGTGGGCTGCTCCGAGGGGGCCCTGTGCGATCCGACGGGTAGGGGGTCTGTGCCCGGGCGGTGTCCGGTGCAGAGTCTCCTTCTGAGGTCCCGCATGTGATGTTGGGTGTGAGGTTGTGGCGGCAGTGAATGAACCCAAGCGCCAAGGGGGGAGCTGATCCCACTCGTAACCAACTCTCAGGGGCAGTAGGTGGGCGAGCTTCAAGCGCGCTCATCTCGAACGACAAGGCGTCGCTAGGCGCGGTCTTCCGCGGGGGGAGCGTCGTCGACGGGTGCGGGACCGCGGCGCAGCCGGTGCCGCGACGATGCCTGGTGCGCGCCTTCCTCCTCGGCCGCGGCTTTGCAGATGGCGAGAAGCCCTCCGACGAGGAGGACGAGAGCGAGGACGAGGGCGACGACGGGCCGGACGAGGTGGAGGTGGAGGTGCAGCAGGACTCGGATGCGGAGCGGGAGACGTCGCAGGAGGCTGCCGACGACCCGCCCGACTTTATCGCCACGCCGTTTATGCTCGAGCTCGATGCGCGCGAGCGAGAGGCGTGCCCACCGCTGCCGTCTCGGAGCGACACGATGGTGGGCGACAAGCGCGCGCTAGGTGGGCCCGAGGCTTTCCCGGGCGGGGCGAAGCGACTGGCGCTCGACTCGCCTGCCGCTGCGCCTTAAGAGGGCGACGTGCGGGGTGCGGGGTGCCGGGGTGCGGCTGGTAGGGGGTGCGTGCGAGAGCCCCTCTGCTGCGCCACACGTCGCTCGGGCTCAGCCGTGTCGCCTGCTGCTGTACGTAGGGGCGGACGGTTTTGCCAGACCGCCTTGACGTGCCATCCACTCGCAGCACTTTGGGCCCCGGAGGCGGAGCCCGGACACTGCGGGCCCAGCGGGATGATGGGCCGACAGAGGCAAGCGCGACCCCCCATGCGCGCGCGCGAGAGGTCCGAGGACCCCGTGTGCGTACACGCGGCTTTGTGTCTGCCTCTAACGCGGTACGTACTAACGTACACACATACGTGTAAGGGTGAGATCGGGTCGTTCACGTTTGAATGTAAAAGCCGTACACGAACCACATCGCACATGCTGAGCCATGAGACACGAACGCAAACCGGCCCCATGTCCCCATGAGTCATGCGCACCGCAAACCATGCTTGTGCGGTCACCTCTGCACCGCCCGAACTGCGGCGCCCTCGCCCTCGCCCTCGCCCTGACCCTCGCCCGCGTCCTCGCCGAGCAGCCATGCCGGCGGGAAAGCGGCGCCGTGCACGCCGCGCGCCTTCGGGTGGCGCGAGAAGAAGCCGAGGACGAGGTCCGCGTAGGCGAAGGGGTGGAGATGGTGCAGCGGCCAAGTGTGGCCCCACTCTCCTACGCACTGGACGACCGACGCGCCGCTCGCGCACGCGCCGTGCGGCTCGTTGCACGAGAGGCGCCGCAAGCCGTCGAACTTGGTCGGGTGGGGCCGGTTGGCGGTCAGGTTGCAGCCGGCGGCGCGCGCAAACTGCCTCGTGATGGCGGGCACCTCGTGGTAGAAGAAGCGGTCGTGCGAAGTGGTGGCGCCGTCGGGCGCACCGCCGAAGCCATTGGACGCGTTGGCGGGCACGTAGACGTCGTCGAAGCCTACGCAGAACTGTGCGAGTGAGAAACAACAAAGGCTGTGGAACCGGGCACCACGTAGACGTCGTCGAAGCCGTGGAGGTCGAGCAGCGAGACGGGGTGCCTATCTCTCGGCCACGTCTCGGTCGCATCTCGGCCATCTCTCGGCTATCTCAAGGTCGAGCAGCGAGGGCGGGGTGCCTCGGCGCCCGGTTGTAGCCCCAGATGCGCGAGCCGGCGACGGGCGCGGCGCTCGCCACCAAGTCGGAGAAGTCGAGCGCCGCCTGGTACGCCATCAGCCCGCCCGCGGAGATGCCGGTCAGGTGGATGGCCTACCGCCACAGCCTTGCACATAAATGCACCAGGACGGTGCTGGTCTCAACAGGTCCGACCGGTGGGCTGCTCCTCCAGGTCGAGGCAGAGCGTCGCGCTCAGCCGCCGGAAGAGGGAGGCGACCAAGGAGCGGTCGTCCATGCACGACGCAAAGTTGCAGCCCCAGGTCGAGTCGCAGCCCGCGCAGCTGTCGTAGCACTTGTACCTATATGGTTTTGGCGGGTCGAGCAAGGCACGTGCGGGTGCCGGATCTTCCTGTCACCACTTGCACGCACCGGTCGTTCCAGCCGTCGCCATTGTACCGCGGCGCGAGGCAGGTCGGACCTTGCGGACCGGGCTCCGTGTTGAGCCCATTGCCGTCGACGTTCCACGCACGCGAGTCGCCCGAGTACGCGTCGCCAGATCCGTGTGGCTCTGCCACCACAATGTCGAGCTGCCACTCATCGACGAAGAAGGCGAGCCGGTCTTCCCTCCGTTCTCTCCTGGCTGTGTCGTAGAAGCCGTGGAAGTCGAGCACGAGCATCTGAGGCGACCACCGCGAGTAGGCTGGAGGCAGCGACAGCCAGTAGTTGCGGGACGCCCACCCGCCAGGCTGCGAGGAGTCGCGGACCCAGAGGTCCAGCCTCTCGGCGCCGGCGATGCCGGAGGCAATCGGAGGCGGCCTGCCGCAGCCAGGAGAGGGGAAGACCGCCTGGCATGTGAAGAGGACGAGGGTCGGGCTCATCGTGGCAGTTCACAGCCTTGTTATGGAGAAGAAAATACCTCTTATGGCGCACCTGAGTGGCAGTTAGTTGTGTTCACATAAACGCACAACCCCGGGCCCGAATCGCACAGAGTCACGCAACACGGGACCCCAGCGAAGGCGAGCAAAAACCTTATGTTCACACAAAGTGTTGTGTTCACAGCCTTGTTATGAGAAGAAAATACTTCCGATTGCGCTTTGCGCTGGTCTATGAGAGGTTGAGGTGCGAGCCCTGGTGGCCCTGGGGCTGGACCGCCGCCACCGCCTCGCGCGTTTAGCGGGGGGTCAAAACTTAGAAGGAGGACAGCCTATAAAGAAAAGAAACGCAAGGTCGAAGCTGCCACCTTATCAACCACAACGCAAAAGGCCCGCGCGTGCTATACAAGAATACGCGCGTTCGAAATTCTTTTGTTGTTTGCTTGACCTAGTCGAATGCTCGCGAAGCGTGTCCCGACGTGTGTTTGTCCCGACGGGTCGAATTTCAGTGTACGTACTTTTAGCTTACTGGGAGAAAAGAGAGAGGGGGTTGTGTCCTCTAGGCCCCTAAGGGCCCTACGCGCGGCGTGAGAGCTCGGAAGCGAGCTCTCTCTCTCAGTGTATGTGGCTCTTTATACGTACATTCCCGTAGGGCGTAGGAGGACTCTTATTTCCGCTGAATTTATTCTGAGCCCTTTGCACTATCACGGCTCCCGCGGCTCAGCGGCGGTTCCAGCCGTGGCGTAGGGCGTTTTGGCGCGCAAGCAGACCCTATCTGGCTAGGAGCCGGAACCCTGTGGATAGTCGAATGCTCGCGAAGCGTGTCCCGACCGCAGCACCGCTACACGCTGGAGGCGCTGATGAAATAGCGCGGGCCGCAGGCACGGCCTCAGTCGCAAGCCACTTCTCCGCACGCGTCGCCCCGATCCTCTTGCTGCTCACGCTATCGACGCTGCCGCTCTCCCGCGTGCACAGCGTCAGCGCGTCCGTTGCCGGCGCTCAGCCCGTGCTGTATGCCAGCAGCCGCGACAGCGAGGATAGGGCACTGCTGGAGGATATCACAGAGTCGCCTGCGGCGGCGCTGCTCGCGCTGCCTCCAGGAGAGCGGCAGCGGCAGGAGTCGTTGCAGCGTCTGGAGGACGAGCGGCTCGAGCAGTGCCGCGCCGCGCGCATGTTTGACACCTGCTTCTTCTTTGGCACTGCTGGGCCAACGGCCGAGAGAGCGACCGCCCGTGCAGGGGAGGGCCGTGCCACACAGCCACAGTCACAGGGCGGGCGGCCAGTCCGGACATTGCCGACCTGGTGAGGATGTGAGGGGAGGTGGCTCAATGTGGTTCTTCTAGGGCAAAACGGCACAGGATTCCTAGCAACTCTCTCTCGAGGTTCTCGAGGTGGATATCCTTTGGCCGCGTTGGGTAGCGAGGATTGGTGTGACGCGATCCACGCAGGCGTGTTTTCTGGCGGCCGACCGTCAGTGCACGGAGTTGCCCCTTCTCCGACTGCCCCGGCTAGTTCCCGAGTTTCGCGGGAGTGACCCCATGCGTCAAACCCGAGACCTAGCGCGGGTGGGTTGGAGGGGGCTCGCCCCGTTCCTCCCCATCGGGCCGCATAAGCGGCCACGCCTCGCAGATTCGTTTTCGCGCCTGGGTCAGGCGCGCGGGGCATCCCCCGGGTCGCTCGACCAGCGATCCGAAGAGTGGCCGCTATGCGAAGGAAAGAGTGGGGCCCTCGGGGTACGCCTCCGTCCGGCCCCCTCCGAGGGGGGAAGGGAAGTGCGGGGTCCCCACGGGCGCCTCAGTTCGGCCCTCCCGAGGGGGGGAGGGGAGCAAGGGGGTGGGGGGATCAGGGCGGTGGGGAGGGGTCTCGATTTCTTGTGGCTAACACTTGCCTTTCGGGGAGGGGCCTCCGGCCGTGCTAGCGCAGTGGCGCCCGCTCGACATCTTCCCCTCCTCCCTCGAGGCAGCGAGTAGGCAGCGAGAGGAGGTCTCGAGCGCCTATATGAAGGTATGTGAGATGGTGATGGGAATGGGTGGTCGGTCGGTCGGTCGGGCGGGCGGGCGGGCGGGCGGGCAAGCGGGGAGAGGCGGGCGGGGCGGAGCGGGCGGGCGGGGTGATCGGAGAAATCGTAGCCACAATCAGCCGCAGCGGAGCAGCAGCAGCAGCAGCAGCAGCTGCAGCAGCAAGCAGCAGCCAGATTGCTGCCGTTGTCTGCGCCGCGATCCGCCGCCGTGCCGCCGCGCCGCCGCCGGCTGCGCTCGCCGCCGCCTCGTAGACGACTCCTCTCGCGCTCGGAGAGCCGCGCAGCGGGCCGCGAGGTTGTGGTCAGAGAGCAGCGGGGTTGAGATCCACAAAATCGGCCAAATTTGAGGTTGCTCGAGAGAGCCTGGAATGGTCCCGCGCCGTTGCCCCGATACGGTGCATCACGTCTCAGCCGCGATGGGCCGGTTCCGCCGCGTAGTCGAGCGCAGGAGCTCGGAGGCAACTTTGTCGACAAACTGGTCGAGCCAAAAATCGGCGAGGAAGCGGTACCGGCGGCACTCCGGGACGAATCCGGACTGATCACATTGTTCGGCACCGCGACGGCGAGCCGCCGCGAGCCCACCGGAGAGCTGGGAGCCGCGGCACTGGACTGCGCCGCCAGCGAGGCGAGAGCAGCAGCCGACCGGCCGTGACATGGCAGTTAGACGGCCTAGCAACTCAGGGATGCGTGAACTTGATCGTTTTTGTTCACACAAAGTGTTGTGTTCACAGCCTTGTTATGAGAAGAAAATACTTCCGATTGCGCTTTGCGCTGCCGCTGGTCTATGAGAGTCGGTTGAGGTGCGAGCCCTGGAGGCCCTGGGGCTGGAGGGAGACTACCCGCGGGCCTAGAAGGCCCGGCGCGCAGGGGGGTAGGTAGGTAGGTAGGTAGTGGTAGAAAGGTGAAGAACAGTAAGGCTCGGACTGGACACCAACGCGGTATGGGTGGGCGCGGGACAGGATGATGACGACACGCATGAGCGACACACAGACACAAACAGGCTCACAAGACACACAGCCAGCTGGCTGCCACACACCCTGAGTTGGCGTACACGTAACACGTAACTCAGGGCCACGTCCTCCCTGTCGCCCCCCCCCAGCACTCCAACCAAGGTGCCAAGAGAACAAACAAGGGCACAACAAACAACAGACGACAGGAAGTAACATGCGAGGCTAGAGCAGGCTTGCTCCGCCTCTAGCAATCTAGCCGGCCGCAAGGCGCGGACAAGACCGTGTGTGGAGTCTAGTGAGGTGTCTATGGACGCCCTCTTCACAGGCTAGCCGCCAGCAGCTAGCCCTAACTCGCACTCACGGGTGACGACAATTCATTGTATGAGTGTATGCGAGCAGAGGCGCGTGTGCTAATTCTAGGCCGCACGTCGTGGCACTATGACGGAGGTAGATGCTGGCAGGCATGATACGGTGTTCTGCTGGGGTGACTTTGGGGCGAGCATGCTGACAAGGTCGACGAACGCAGGAGCTGCTGCGCGGACAAGGGGGGCGATTGCTCGAGATGAGCCGAGATGACGCGCGAGATCAAAGGGTTGCACGCTCAGTCTCTCGTGCGTGCAGGCTCGCAGGTGCTGAGGGATGTTGTGTTATGGCACACATGCGGCGGCGTGTTGCGTCGAGCGCACTCAACGGACAGCACTAGCCCACTAGCACTAGCCCACTACCGCACTAGACGGCTCTCTAGCCGCTAGGTAGACTACACACGAGTCCGCGAGATCAAGAGGGGGGAGGGGGGGGGTGCCCGGGGGGACGCTCTGGTGTGACTGTTGACAACCTCTTGGACTTCGGGTACACGGCGGGCAGAGAGCACGACGACAACACGAGGGAAAAGCATGTATGTTGCAAAATAAGTACCGATGCAGACACACACACTTCGAAAAAAGTTCACCGGCGACTGGACTGGATGTATATACGAACGGAAACGGAGGCGACAGCGGGGCCGCCACCCGCGACAGTGGCGCGGCCTTGTGATTCCTCCTCGCGCTCGGGCGATGCGCTCCGGCGCGGCGGCCTTCAGCCCGCCGCCTGCACGAGTCCCTCCAGCGTCGCGTCGAGGTCGAAGCTGGCAGCGGAGCAGAAGTTGGCCTTTGCGACTCGAAGCTGCCGCCTCGGCGGCGCGAGTGTCGCCCCCACCGCCGCCGGCGGCTGCTCCGCCGAGTGCAGCACGAGGCGCACGTTGACGCAGTGCGCCCACGAGGTGCCGAGGCAGGCGCTCATCTCGTCCTGCGCGGCGGCAGGCGAGGCTCGAACGGGCCTCTCTCTCTCCCCCCCCCCCCCTCTCTCTCTCTCTCTCTCTCTCTCTCTCTCTCTCTCTCTCTCTCTCGCTCGCTCGCTCGCTCGCTCTCTCTCTCTCTCTCCTCTCTCCCCCGCCTGCCTCTCTCTTCCTTGCCGGGCATGGGGGGGGGGGGGGCTCCGCCTCCGGCTCTCCCACGCGGCTGAGCTCGCGCAGCCCGCCGTCGTCCGAGCCGCTCGAGCCCTGCACCTGGTTCGTCACGAGCACGACGAGCCCCTCCTCCTCCGCCAGCGACTTGAAGAGCGCCGCGTGCGACGAGAGCAGCCGCTGCCGCTCCGACAGCCGCGCCCTCTCAAAGTGGGCTCGCGCGGGGGCGGCGATCGAGTCGACGACGAGCAGGCCGGTGGCGAGGCGCGTGTCGTCCTGGAAGAGGGCGCGAATACGAGAGAGGCACTGCTCGTACCCCTCCCACTCGTCCGCCGCGAGCACAGTCACGCGGTACAGAAGCTCGTGCGGGTCCGCCTGGACGCCCCGCCGCTGCAGCGAGCGCACGACGAGCTGCAGCAGACGCGTCGCCTTGAAGCCGCACTCCGTGTCGACGTAGACGACGCCGGCGCCGCGCGCGTGCCCTGTCACCAGCGCCTCCGCAGCCACCGCCAGGCAGAGCTCCGTCTTGCCGACAGCGCTCGCACCGACAATCTCAGTGACGCTTCCCGGCCGCAGTCCACCGCCGAGGTGGCCGTCGAGAGCGGCGAGCCCCGTCGGAAGCGGAGCCTCGCGCATGAGCTGCTGCGCCGTGCTCGGCGGCGGCGCGCACACCGCCGCCGCCGCCGCGACGACAGCCCGGACGTCGCTGACATAGAGGTCGAGCGCCTCGACCAGCTCAAGCTCGCTCATGCAGAGGAGCCGCCGGGCGCTCGTGATGCCGCTGCGCTGAACCGCGAGCAGCGCCTCCTGCGAGAGCTGCTTGGGGCCGTGCAGCACGTTGTCGGGCGCCGCAGGGCGAACGGCGATCATGCGAGAATGGCGGTGCGAGAATGGACCGGAGCGGTCGAAGAGAGCGAAATCGAGAAAAAAAATTTTTTAATTGAGATAGAGTGTAGTTTTTGTTCAAATTATTTTTAAAGACTTGGAGTACAGCGTTGCGACAGCGCCGCAGCCGGCCTCCAAGTGGGAGGGAAGTGGACGGGGCCCTGAGCCGACCTAGTTGCCAAACGGAATGGGGCGCCCAACACGACAAAACGAAAAATCTCTCTCTCTCCCAACACGTGCCGGATTACTGTGCCTTCCCCGGGCACAGCCTTTCGGTTCGTGAAGGGTCGGTGCGTGTCGTGACCCCCTGGAACACCCGTACCCCCGCACCATCTCCGTCGCCGCTCGGTTGAGCACTTGAGCACTTGATAGGGTCGATTCCGCGTGGTACAGGACCCCTCGCTCGATCGTCTCGCCCTCCCTCACTGGCCGCAGTCAGTCAGTCAGTCTTACACACCTCCAAGCAAGGAGGACGGGCCCACACGCACACACACGCTGCACACGATTGGCTCGGGAGCCGACACGAGGCACGCTGTCACCGGCCGTAGCACTGGGTCCGGACTGCTGGACGCACAACACACAGCTCACAGGACAGCTCACGAGGTGGCGCTGTATAGTGGGGTTCTCAGGGACCGACACGGGAGAAGAAGGTGGAGCACAGGGACGGGGACACAGAACTCACGAACTGATATCCCACCCCGCGCCGGGGGCACTGGCCGCTCGGTTGCTTAATTAACCTTGCCACCACCGGGAGGCGGCCAGGGCTCATAGACTCGGTCGAGAGACCCCAGATTGGCACCTGTGCCTTTCTGGACAGGGTGGCCCGCCACAACGACCCCTGGAATTGCGACTCGCCGCTTTCCTCCCGCTGTGATTTGAGAGAGAGATTTTTAGCACTACCAAACAACTCTAACACTCACTCGTCATTTGGGGCCTGGAGCCCTGTTCACGCGCGCGCGAGACGTGCAGACAGGGTTGCCAGGTGAGAGCGAATGGCGCGGTTCACGCCTCGCACAACAGAGAGAGAGATGCGCTCTGTGGTGGGACATAAAAGAGAGCGAGTACTTGGGCGAGTAGGCCGTGCGGTCAACGCTGCCGCGCGCGACTTTGCGCGCGAGGCGGCGCAGCTTGAGAACGGCGGTGGGCGATTTGTGTGAGCTCTGTGCCTTGTCCCTTGATGTGAGAGAGAGATTTTTAGCAATACCAAACAACTCTAACACTCGAGTTGTGTTGTTGATGTGCTAACAACGAACCTAAAACAAAAGAAGCCTCGCTCGGAGCTCAACAGCACCGGCGGCTGCTGGCGGCACCGCTTGTCGACTGGGGCGAGCTTGTAGGCGGGAGAGCGCGCCCTCGCCATGGGTCAGAGAGAGAGACAGAGAGAGTTGTTGTTCTGTCAATCAGGAGAGCGCAGCGTAGGTCGTAGGAGCCGTCCGCCGCCCGCCCGACAACGACAACCCGGCAGGCCATGCCAGGAGCCGGATCGCGCGAGCCACGTGGAGCGCGTGCTCGGCCGACCCCCCGACATCAAGCGACGGGAGTGAAAAGAGAAAAAAGGATGCTGAAACCCGGCGTAACACGATGGATGAATCCTTCCTTGCGCTCTTTGCGCTGCCATTCGCGAACCATATGATGCTCGCTACGCTCGTTCTCGGTGCGCCTGTCGTCAACGTGTCATCGTCAGTCGTCATCCAGTCGTTGCCAATCCTCGGCCCTGTCTTCGCCACGATCGACGAGACCATCCATTCCTCCGACGCACTCGTCCTCAAGGCCGCGGCAGATCTCAGCGGCGCCGAGGACCAGTTTGCCAGGGATCTCTTTGCGGAGCACAACATCGCCCGGACCACTCCCTCCGTGTATGCCGACACGCTCGCGCAGCTCCTCCCGTACTTTCGGTCCGCCACCGTGCTCGACCTGCCCGGAAGCACAGATCTTCGCATGGAGGAGGGCAAGTCTGCTTTTGAGGAGGCCATCGACTTCCTCCGCGAGCAGAGGCCGCTCGCGCCGCTGACGACCCTCTCCAGAGGCCTCACGCAGGCGGCGAAGGACCACGTCGCGGACTCGGGCACAGGGCTCGTCTCGCACACGGTGAGCGGGACACTGCACCTTCGGCCCGCCTCGGACCACCCCCTCGGTATCGTCGCAAGCCAGCCCATACGCGTCACCGGAGCAATTATAATACTGAGCCGAGTGTAGGGTTGTACTGAAGGCCTACTTTTGCACCCCACAGGGCACCGACGGCTCCTCGCCCTTCGACCGCATGTCGCGGTACGGCACCTGGACAGGCACCGCCGGCGAGAACCTGATGTTTGGCGGTGCGCGTGTAATGCCCCGCCCGCCAACGGCAACGCACCGCGGTCACACGACTCCGCCTCCCACCAGACCGCGCGACATCGTCTGTGTCGGCTCCCTCGAGTCTCATCCGCGCCCTTTCCCGCTCTGTGTGCAGGCAAGGGCGGCCCCGTCACGTTGGCCAAGTTCGACTTTATCACCCCGGCTCGCTCCGTCATGCTCTCCCTGATCGTCGACGACGGCGTCGCCGACCGCGGCCACCGCGTCGCCATCTACAATCCGCGCTTCCGCGTCGTCGGCATCGCGTCGGGGGCACACTCAGAATACGGTCCGCACACTCCAAGCAGAGACTCTAGCATCGCGCGGTGCTCGGGTGCTCGGCCTAACCGCAGCCGTCAGTGCCCCAGACTCCAATCCACATAGCTTTTGCGGCGCCAGCCCCTCAGGCCTGTGTCGCCTCTCCGTGTGACACCCCCCTTGCACCCCGTCCGTCAACGGCAGGGACCATGACGGCGATCTCGTACGCAGTGGGCTATATCGAGGGTGGTGGCGGCGGCGGCGGCGGCGGCGACTCAATCAACGACGACAACGGCAACGGCGGGGTCTTCTCCAGCCCGTGCGTCTAAGCTTGACACAGCCTCCCGCCCGCGCGCTGGTTGTGTGGGGAGTGATCGAGGGTGAGAAAGGGGGGGCGCGCGGGGGGGGGGGGGGGGGGGCCTGACCCAGGGTAAAAAAAGGGGGCCCCCCCCGGGGGGGGGGGGGGGCTCCGCGCTCACCTTCGACACTATGTACGGTATGTGTGTGTGCACCACCTCGTGGAGAGAGCTCGAGAGGAGTTCGCAGACCTTCTTACGATACAAAAAGAAAGGCAGCCAATTCACAGGTGCTGGTGAGCTGTGGATGCGCTGACGAAAAGGAGGACCACCTTCCCGCGGATTGTAAGCGACTCCTGCGCCGAGGCGCGGAGAGAGAAGCAAGACACGGAAGAGGATTTACGAAGAAACTCGGTACACCACGCGGGCCGCCGTTGCGTGTTGGAATTGAAAACCACCGAAATCGGTCGCGCCAGTGAAGCGACTCACTCTCGCCACGCGAGCAGCTCGCACAGTGCGCCCAAATGCCGGTTGGCCTTGGCCTCGTCGAGTGCGGTGTGCCTACCGAGTTAGTAGTTCGACCGCTATCCCATTCACGCCACACCTCATGTACAGACTTCGCTCGTCCATGGCGCGCGCCCCCAGCGGTCCTGCGCACGCACGTCGGCCCCGTGCTCGATGAGCATGCGGCAGATGCCATACTCGCCTATCCACTGCGGGAGGCGTCTCTGCCGGCGCTCTTCACGCTCGCCGAGCGAGTTGCGGGTGCGAGAACTCGCCGCCCGCCGCGGCCAGCATGAGGGCGGTGCGCCTGTCGTAGTCGGCGGCGTCCGGGTTGGCGCCCGCCCGGAGGTACGACCGGATGAGGTTGTGGTCGGAGCTGCTCGCCGCGTCGCACAGCTTCGTCGCGGTTGCGCGCTCGGACAGCATCAGCCGCCCGCCGTGCTCGACCAGCAGCGCCGCCGTGCCGTCCCGGGAGTTGAGCACCGCCTAGACGAACGCTCGCCTCGCACGTGCTGCGCCCGTCACGCACACCCGTCTCGTACCTCTGACCGCGCGCCGCCTCCGCCAGAGGCGTGCGCCCGAAGCGGTCGATGATGTTGACCTGCGCGCCGCACCGCACCAGCGCGCGGACGCACGCGTCCTGCCCGTTCGCCGCGGCGAGATGGAGGCCCGCGCGGCCGTCATAGTCCGTGGGGATGTCGGAGATGGGCACCAAATCAAGGACCTGCGCGGGGGTGCGACCGTCATCGAATCTCGGCTACCTCTCGGGCGCATCTCGCCCGCGCACCCGGGAGAGCTCCACGTCGTCCCCGATCGAAGACAGGTGGCAGACCAGAGCGGAGAGCGCCTCTTCCGCGCGCGCCGAGTCGCGGCCGAGATCGTCGAGAAGGACGCGCGCCGCCGCGGCGAACTGCCGCGCCGCCTCCGCCGAGACGCGCGCCGTGGGCTCGAGCGCCATGCGGAGCGCTCGCACCTTGGTCGGCGCCTGGCGCGTGGCTGCTGGCGGAGCGACGTCGTCAGGCGGAGAGACGGCGCCGCTGCCCGCATGTGCCGCCGCCGCCTCCTCCGCGGCCACGCTCAGCTGCTCGATCGAGCGCTGCAGGTTGCGGCGAAGCTTGTGCAGATCCTGGGACGGCGACGTACGCGGCGGTGAGCTAGGCGGTGGCGTGCCATAGGGCGAGGGTGGGCTGGGCGGCGGCGCGCGTGTGGGAAAGCGCGTTCGAGCTCCCTCCGGTCGCCTGCGCCGAGCGTCAGTACGCGGAGCAGCGTCCGCGCGCGGACCTCCCACGGCTGCCGCGCCGAGCAGAGGAAGCCTCCCGCTCCAAAGGCGGCGCCGGGCCGCAGCACGGCGACGGTCTCGAGCCGCCCCTCCGCACCGCCCGCCACCTGCAGCTGCGCGCTGCCCTCGAGGATGATGCAGAGGCGGTTCGGGATATCCTCGGCGCGTAGGATGGTCATGCCAGACACAAAGGCGTCCTCCGCCACCCGGTCCACGCAGTCGGCGACGAAGCGGCGAGACAATCCTCGCAGCAGCGGCTGCGAGGCGAGCGCGTCGCCGAAGCGCTGCGTCCGGATCGACAGGCGGACGGACGCGGGCAGAGAGTCCACGTTGGCGCGAGCAGATTCAAGGGAGAGGCGGAGGTACTCGCGCGTGGCGAGGACGACGTCCGGAGAGATGCGCTCCTGCGGCAAGGGTAGACGTCTCGTCCAGTGGTGGGGGAAAGGGTCTGGGCCATCGACGCAGCATCTCCGCGTCCGGAGACCGGGCAGAAGCCCTCGGCATTCAAGTGTCCGGCGGCGGCGGGGGCGCGCTCCTCCGAGAGTAGGCGCTCGAACGAGCTGATCGTGTGCCGGCTCTCGGCCATGTCGGTGTCGGACATCGACGCCAGCGCGGAGATGCCGCCTCGGTTGGGGCTGGGCGGTCAGCGACGGGAGGTGGAGGGCCCGGGTGGGAAGGGAGGGAGGGCCCACCGACGATGCCCGCGAGTAGCCAGATGTTGACCAGCACGAAGATGACCGTCAGCGCCTGTTCGGCCTCGCCGACGGGATAGAAGTCGCCGTACACAACGGTCGACGCCGTGATGGTGGACCAGTAGAGGCTGGCCAAGTACTGGCTGGCCTTGGGCGCGGCCTCGAGGTCCGGCGCGTGAGCCCCGACCCACGTGGCGGCCGGGTCGAAATGGTTGGCGCGGGAGAGGGACCAGAAGAGGCAGGCGGCGACATGGATGCTGAGGAGGAGCACCGACATCTTGGCCACCACAAAGGAGAGGAGGTGCGGGACGGCGAGGTTGCGAGACAGCGTGCAGATGGCGGAGTCAAACGAGACGAGGAGCAGCAGCCGGAGGCAGTTGACGGCCTCAACTAGCTCAAACCGCCTACGAGGCTGGCCCTGGGCGTGTCATGAGCATGTGGGGAGGCACGGCGGCCCTCGCCAGCTCGAGCGGCCCTTCGCCGCCGTCCGGGTAGATTGCCGCCTCGACCACCTCGCAGAGCATCGGCAGTGCAGTCGCGAGGAGGAGGTGCAGCAGCAGGTTGAGTGGGTGGTCGAGCCGAAATGGCACGGCCCGCAGCGCCTTCACGTCCAGCAACGAAACTGCGAGCCGATCCGCGTCCTCGGGCGCCTCTCGCAGCAGCCGATCGTGCTTGCGTCTCCTCTCTCTCCGCTGTGCGCTGGCGCCCGCCGCGTAGACGACAATGTAGAGCGAGGTTGCGGCCAGCTGCAGCGCAAAGACACCTGGCGGATGCGGCGGTGAGCGGGGTAGACGAAGGTCGTGGCGGCGGACTCGGAGGCGGCGCTGCTGGAGGTGGCGTCTGGGCGGTGGCGGCTCGCCGGAGAGGCCGTCGGAAAAGGCGAGTCGGTAGATGGCGACGAAGATCGTCACGCCCCCAAGCAGCAGCAGTGTCAGCAAAAAGGCCGCTTGCCTTCGAAGCTTTGAGCTCCAACTGCGCGGGTCCCTCTCGCTCGTGCCGGCGGTCGAGATGTGGTCGGAGACGGAAGAATCACGCCGCCAAGCAACTGAGGACGGTTCTGCCGCCGGCACAGCACTGGAGTCGTTGTTCTTCGCCATATGGCTGTCAGTGACACAATAAGAGACGCCCGGCATGACGTTGCCGACATCAGTGCCGGGTACACGGCTGTGGAAGAAAAACCCGGTCCGACAAAGTCCCTTGTGCCGAAAACAGCACTCCTCCCCGCTGTACACTGTAGTCGGCCCCGTGAACCTTCTCACAGTCTGCTGTGAGTGCCCTGTGTGAAGAGTAAGTAAAAAATAAGTAAGGGGTTGCGAAAACAGCCGGCGGGCACGTCGTTCGTTGTATTTATGTTGCGCGCGACGACGGCCGCACTGTTGTACGAGGTCGCGACGCCGTCGACGATTGGCCAGCCGCCGTGCTTGGTGAGCGGGCTGTGCAGCCCTTCGGCCTCGACCGAGGCGATCCCGAGGACGGGCGCCTGTGGGGGGGGGGTAGCATCAAAAGAGGCAGGGGTGTGATATGCTGGACTATTGGCGCGCGCCTGCACGAGCGTGCCCGCGGCTGGCGACGCGATCCAGACCGTCTCGCCGACGGCAACCTCGGACGCCTGCTTGAGCGCCTTTGCCGGGCCGGCGGGCAGCTTGTGCACCGAGGTGAGCGTGACCGTCGCCGTCGCGGTGGCGAGCGAGAGGAATGCCGCCTTGGCGGACGGGTTGGCCAGCGAGAAGGAGGAGACGACGTCGAAGCCGAGGGTGCCTAGAAGTAGAAGTAAGCGACTGTGAAACAGATGAACACTCTATACACGCCATCGAAAGCGAGGGTGCCGTCGGCCGCAGCAGCGAGGATCGAGTCGCCGGCGGAGAGGGAGGAGAGGAGGGCGGTCTCGCCGTTGGCGCGCTGCACCGTCGCAGAGCTCGGGAAGCACGGCGGGTCCACGTCAGGTGAAGGCGACGTTGGCGGCGGCGGCGTGGGCGGGGCGGAGGGCGGGGCGGTGGGCGGCGGCGGAGGTGATGGCGGCGAGGTTGGCGGCGAGGGCGGCGAGGGCGGCGAGGGCGGCGAGGGCGGCGAGGGCGGCGAGGCCGGCGGCGAGGGAGGGCACGCAAGCGAGCCCCACGAGTAGGGCCACGCGCTCGTCTGTGCGTCGAAGCTGGCGTGGATGAGCGCCTTGTTGCAGTCGCTGAGGGAGGTGGCGCCGAGGAACATGTGTGCCATGTCGAGGGCCGCCGACACGTCCCACGATGAGATGTCCTTGTCGAAGGAGGTGGCGCCGTCGAACATGCCGGTAATGCCGAGGACCGACGACGTGTCCCACGAGGAGATGTCCTGGTCGAAGGAGGAGGCGCCGTGGAACATGGCGAGCATGGTGGTGACTGCCGACGTGACCCACGACCCAATGTCGGGGTTGCACGTGCTCTTGCCGGTCGTGCTCGTGGAGCCGCCGCCGCCGTTATTCTCGCACCACGAGTCGACACTGCATGTTGGTGATGCGGCTCACGTCCCAGTCCGCGATGTTGCCGTACTCAGCCAGGGCGGCCGGCTCGTTGCTGCACCACAGGTCGGCCGCGGTCTGCAGGTCGGGCTTGTTGGCAAAGGTAGTCTGCGCCGACGCGCCGGGAGGGAGTAACGCGACAAAGGCTACGAGGATCGGCTTCATTGTCTCCTGCGGAAGGAAAGGTGGGGGGGCAGGCGGCACGGTGAGGGGTGAGTCGCCGCTCGCTGCGCGCGGTTGGTTGGGCCACTGCCTCCGCCGCCTCTGCCGCCTCCGCCGGCAGCGCACAGACTCTCTCACGACTGCTCCCTTCCGCCCCTGTCCACGCCTCGACGCCGTTGGAGAGGACCAGAATGACGACGGCTTCATTGATAAGCAGAACCTGAACCCTGGGTTTGACGCATGGGGTCACACCCGCGAAACCCGTGAACTAGCCGGGGCAGTCGGAGAAGGGGCAACTCCGTGCACTGACGGTCGGCCGTCAGAAAACACGCCTCCGTGGCTCGGGTTACACCAATCCTCGCTACCCAACGCGGCCAAAGGATATCCACCTCGAGAACCTCGAGAACCCTGCTCCGCGCACTTGCCCGATCTGGGTAGGAGCGCACGCACAGGATCCTTTTTCCCTCTCGGGCCAGGTGTAGTTTATTTTTGCTTGGGGCGGCCCTCATGCCGGGGTAGGTAGGGTAGGTCTGGGCCCTCCCGTCGGGGTTTTCCCTCTCTTCAAGCTGGAATTTTCCCAGCAAAAAAGAAATTTTCCGCGGAAATCACGATGTCAACCCTCCCCAAATGGGGTGATCTGATGCTTGTAGGGCTTGAGAGTGGCCTGCCATGTCACAAGAAGGACTGTGGTTGCAGGAGAGTACCACCAACCATCACTCTAGTTGGTATAGTACCCCACCTTCACCCATCCGATGATTTCTTTTTTAGTTTCCCGTAAGTTTGGTAGGTAGGTAGGTAGGTAGGTAGGGGCGGGGCAGGGGCCGGCCGGGTTTTTCCAGAATTTCAGCATGAGGGCCGCCCAAGCAAAAAAAGAATACACCTGCTCGGGCTCGAATGTCCGGCAGCTCGGCAGCGCCCGCCGCCACGCTCGCCGCGCTCGGTGAGGCTTTGGCCGCCGCCATCGAGCCTCTTGCCGCGCACCTGTCGCCTCGCACCCTGGCTCGCCTCGCGCGAACCAGCCAATCCCTCCGCCAGAGCATCTCCGGGAACGACGCGTTCTGGGCAGCGACGGCTCGGCACATGGGCCTCGCGCTCGGCAGCCGCGCCTCGCTCGTGCAGCACTTTCGGAGCCGCTGCGTGTTTTGCTGCGACGTGGTTGCCAACGCGTCTGTCCAAGCGTCCGTCATCCGCCTCGACCTCGGCGCGGCGACGCCGGCGGCGAGGCGCGCGTCGCCCCGGGTGCTGGGTCCTGCACGACGCGTCCACTGCACGAAACGTCACCACGAGACGCGTGCACGGCCGCGCCCCGCAGGCGCGTCGCCGCGGCGCACAGCCTCGTGAGCATGGGCCGCTCGGGCTGCCAGCGGGTCGACTTTCGGGTCCGCGAGCTCTCGCACGGCCCAAACCACCACGTAGTCCTGTGGCTCGGCGTGCTCTTTGACAAGCGCGAGGGTGCGCAGAGACGCCCGAGAGATGCATGCGACCGAGGTACAGCCGAGATGCGGCCGAGGAGCAGCCGAGATGCGGCCGAGGTGCAGCCGAGATGCGGCCGAGGTGCAGCCGAGGTGCGGCCGAGGTGCGGCCGAGGAATGTGCGTCTCCTGCAGGCGCGCCGCTCGGCGCGAGCAGCCTCGACCGCGCCCTCGCCGGCTACGACATCTCGGCGACGGCGGCGGCCGTCGGGATGGGCGAGCGCTTCTCGCGCGGCTCGTGGTCGATGAACGCCGTCGGCTCGCGAGGCGCCGTCTGTCTGGTCGGACGCGTGGGAAGAGTCTCGGAAGTGTCTCGGAAGTGTCTCGGAAGTGTCTAGGCGCCGTCTGGTCGGACGCGTCGGTGGTGCGGCTGCTGGGCGAGGCGGGGCAATTCGGAGAGGGCGACACGGTGCGAGATGACCCGAGATGGCCCGAGATGGCCCGAGGTTAGGTTCGGAGAGGGGGACACGGTGCGTCGCGGCCGAGAGGCGGCCTCGGGCGAGACGCCGCGCCGAGCGTTGTGCGCCTCAGACATTGCCTGACTTGTCTGCACCCTGTCCGGCAGGTGAGCCTCCTGCTCGACGCGAGCCACCGGCAGATGCGCGTGCGCGTGGCCAACCGGCGCGGCGTGAGCGAGCACGTCGCGGTGCGCAAGCTGGTGACGCGCGCCGTGAGCGGCACCGCGCCTCGCGTGCACGCGATCGCGCACCTCACCGACATCGCCGTGCCCGCGATCGGGCAGCCCGCGAGCGCCGTGGTCGAGGTGCTCGGCGGGCCGCTCCCGCTCCCAACGTGACGTTGTTCGCGACAGCTGCATATTGGAACGGGATCTTGTAATCACTAGGGGACAAGAAGAGAGGTCTCCCTTTTTCCCCGTAAGCTAAAAGTGATCGAACTTTCTTTAAATCGAAAAAGGGCTGTGACCACGCCCTTAGGTCCTAATCGAAACTGACTCGGTCACCAAGGGGTGACTCGGTGCACTCACCGACGTCTGTGTCATCTGTGTTGGAGATGCTGATGCTGGCTCCGCTCGTTTTGGCCGCCGAGATTTCCGCGGCTAACTTGAGCCCGTCGACCGCCGCGACCGCCCCTATCGAGGAGGCCGCGACAGAGCGCGGCTTTGGCTGCAGCCTTTCGGGCTGCGGCACGTACAACCAGTACACGGGCGAGTGGTCGGGCACGAACTGGAAGGGCGAGCATGCCGCCGGCAATACGTACACGGGCCAGTGGCACGCGAACGGCTGGGAGGGTTCGGCGACCGGCAACACGCACACAGGCTCCGCCACGCTCCAAACACTGCCGCTTGCGCCTGCGGTCCTATACACTCTCTCCCGCGCGCAGGCAACTACGCAGCAACGGGCTGGCAGGGCAGCATCGCCGGGAATGGCTACTCTGGCGGCTATGTCGCGCAAGACAACTGGGGCCGCACCCACTATGGCAACTCTCACTACGGGCCCTACTACCTAGTCAAGGCAGCGAGCGCGCCTCCACCGCCCACACCACGCAGAGCGGCTGGTGATCACCCTTGAGCGTGGACCCGAATAGGAAAAGGCGAGCGGGCTCGTCGCCGACCACGCCGTCTTCGCTGCAGTCGGTCTCGCGATGAAACCCGCAGATAGACCAACTCTGCCCACAGGCTCCAAGCTTGCTACACACATGCGTACTGTAGGCGCCGCCGCCGCGCTCTTCGTGGCGGTTGGCCTCTTGCGCCGTGCCCGCAACATCTCGCTGCAACACCCGGTCGCCGGCGTCACACCGGCGCCGCTTAGTTTGGTGTGAGGGTCCGGCAAGCGCTTTTGTCCTCTTCCGCGGGCCCCGGAATTGCGCGGTAAGAGGTCCAGAAGAGGTCACGCCCGTGAGAAGCCTTGTCAGCTTGAGAGGCCAACGAGAGAGAGGGCTACCCGACGCGGTTTGCCCAGAATTTCACAGTGTGTTTATTACGTGTTTCCGGCTGTGCGAGTACCCCTAGAGCGGCGCCCGGCCAGCCGCAGCCCCCGCCGGGCCCCGCCGCGCTACCCCTAAAGTACTCGTCACACACGTAGAGAGAGGCTAGAGAAACGTAGAGAGAGACAAAATTCTAATTTGTATCCCACGCCGCGTTAACGGTTGGAGCCGAGTCCTCGCGACGTTCAAAACGCTCCCTCCCTCCCCTTCTCCCTTCTCCCTCTCTCGGACATCACCACACAATTCCCTGTGTCCTAAACCTGCTTCTACACCTACTCCTTCACTGCCGGGGGCGGGATCCAGGAGCCATTCAGCGCGCGCCGCTCGGGTGCGTACAACCGGAGGGTGAGGTTCCACCCCTTCTCCTCAGGCGTCGGAAGCCAGTTGTTTTCCTTGTCGTCGCCGGGGGAGGCGGTCTGGAAGTAGAGGTCGAGCGAGCCATCTCCATTGTACACGAGAGGCATCCAGCTGGAGAGCGTGGCGCGCTGCATCGAGTTGGGCACCGCGAATCCGTCCGCGTCATAGAGGGTAAAGCTCCAAAAGGCCTTGACGGGAGGGAGCTGCTCGGCATCAAAGTGAACCGTGTACTTGTTGGCGGCGCCTCCCTTCAGCGGCTCGCCTGCAGAGTCGGTCAACAGCTGCGGGTAGATCGCATCTTGAAGCTGGTTGCATCCCAGCCCTACTAGCGCAATCATGGCCCTCTGCGTGTATTCGATGCCAAACGAGCCAAAGACCCAGGGGCTGATGGCCATGGACCAGCCGTTGTTTTCTGCTCTCTTGGCGCCCAGAGCGGCGTACGCCATGCGCATCGCTCGATGGCCGGCCGCTGGCGCCTCCTTGACGGCTGCCAACAGCTCGCCGCTCAATCCGTCTGTTGCAAAGCTCTCTCCCGGGACGATGCCGATGTGCCGCATGCGCGACACCTGGCTGAAGTCGGTGGGGAGGGGCGGCGAGTCCTTCATCAGCTCAGCTGCGTACGCAAAGAACTGCTCGCCCGGCATCTTTTCAATCTGCTGGAGCGGCGCAGCCTTCAGGTCCACAAAGCTCGGTGCGCTCAGCTTCTTCACCTGCATCGCCTCGACTGGCTCTCCCCATCTCGCCAGGGAGGTGAGCGCCATGCCATCCTGGAACTTGTGCACTGCGTCGTAGTCGGGCGGGCCGTCAGTCTTTGTGCGGCCGATGAACCAAACCAGCTTGGTGGGACACTCCGACTTCACCACGCCCGGAGGCAGCGAGCCGGACCAGCCCGGAGGGCAGAAGGCGACATCCTGCGCGCCCGTGCCGGTCGTGCGCCAGCCGGGCACCGCAAACACGTTCGTCCACATGTCGAGCCCGGGCATCAGGTAGTATCGGCCGTCGCTGTCTGGGATGTGCATGACGATGGGGCCGTCGGACAAGTCCAGGAACGTGATGGAGTACAGGGTGTCAAAGTTGGGACGCACAACCTCCTTGAACGTCAGCGGAGGAAATATCCGAAAGTGGCCCCAGTGATTCATGGGCGCCTTGGGGCCCATGCCGTCCCACTTGTCCACGGAGCAGTTCTGCAGCCGCGTTATGTCCATCAGCACCAGCGGGTAGAGGAAGAGGTACGCCTCGTCCACGATCTCCTTGACGTCAAAGCTCGCCATCGCTCGCCCTCAGCTCAGCCCTCTCGCCGCTAGCGTAAAATGCGACGAAGCCGATTAGGAACGACCAACTCGCAACTGGACTCTGACCCCGAATTAGGAACGACCAACTTGAGCATTTGAGCACTGGATAGGTCGATTCCGCATTGTACGGCGGTACGGGACCCCTCGATCGTCTCGCCCACACGGCCAACTTGTCTCTGACCCCTCCCCCGCTCTTCTTCCCACCCTCAGGCATATCTCCAACCATCTCTTGGTGCGTGGACGTGTGTGCGGTGTGTGTCTCGCGCCTTGCGGGGGCGGAGCGGACAGGAAGCAAGAAAGAAAAGACCACGCCACTACCCAGGATTCGGTACTTCAGCTTGGTATAGTATCATCGTATTGCAGATCATACCCCAGGGCTATACCCTGATACCCTCTTGAGAGGACCCGCATTGGGCCCCTAGAGGATAGGCTGATACCCTGGTGGGTTACCCTTCACACCGGACACGACCCCCCTCTTCACACCTCTTCGCGCGCTGCGCGCGCGCCAAGACAGACAAACGCGCTCGAATGAGCGTCGCGCAGGAGGGAGGCGAGCGCACCACTAAGCAATGCGCTGGGAGGAGGGCGCTAATGGCGGCCGTCGTCGCGTTTGACGGGCCCGCGGCCGCAGCCGGTGCGGCTGCAGCCGCGCGAGGTGTGAATTGTCGCTTCGCTGCGCGGCCGCCGATGATACCTTGATACCCAGCCGAGATAAGTCCCCACAGAGGCCTAGAGCATACCTTGATACCCCCTCGAGAACAAATACGAGGAAACTATACCATCCAGGCGCTGAAGTACCGAATCCAGGCGGCCAGAGCGCTGCGAGCACAGAGAGCGCCGGGCGAAAGCAAAAGCACACATCCCAGCCTACTCGAGGAGATGCAGAGCGAGAAAGGCCGCAAGCGTGAGCGTGAGCAGCAGTCTGAGGCCGGAACTGATGACCAGGAGGCTGGCGGCGCTGTGAGCAGCGCGTCGGCCACAGAGGCCCTTGCGGCGCTCGAGGCGGTGAAAGCCCGGTCGTGGGACACGCTCAAGAGCTTCAACATGTCACCGGGAGAAATGCTCGCCGGCCTGATGCAGTGGTCCGACGTCGAGCAGGCCGCTGATTTCTTTGCCAAGTGCCCATGGCCTTTGAGCGGCACCGGGCGCAGCGTCACGCATGGCCGCTACGGCGTTCACCCGCCGCAGTGGGACGGCTCCCAGTACAGTGCTGGCGAGCCGCGGCAGGGTGAGCTGGCTGACTTTCTGGATGCCATCCTCGACTGCAAGCCGCCGCTCGACCGCGCCGGGATGAAGCGCGCTGGTCAGATCGTGCGGTGCTGGGACGACTGGGACAAGAGAGGGCGAATCAACGCCATGCTGTGCGTGTGGCGGGACGAACTCAAAGTCGCGCCGGCGCTGGTCGAAAGCTTTGTCGAGGGCAGCGGCTTCTTGTACTACTCTGATGACGAGGATGCGTACAGCGACTGATGCACGCGTCCCGAGAGACGGACATCTGACAGCGACTGCGCAGCCGGCCCTCCGAGCCATACGTTCACTCTCGCCTCTCGAGGCCACACGTACAGCATGGGCGATTTTGTTTGGCGATTTCTGCTTGTGCAGGGGTACTTACTTCCAAGTTTGGAGCTCTAGTAGGAGCTGGGACGCGCATGGTTGAAAAAGGCATTCGTTTCACGCCACCTCACGCGCATACGGCTCTATACACAGCGCCATGTCACTGTGGTTTATCCTGCACGCTGCCGCACTCTGCCTCGGGCCGCCGGACAGCACACCTGGCACACTTGCACCGCGCAACAACAGCCTCGCCGGTCAGGCGCACGGTGTTAGGGCGCGACGTCGGGCGCGCGGCGACAGACCAGCTGGCGCGTGGCGCGGCGGGCCTGCGCCTGGCAAGAAGCGGAAGGCTGCTGTTTTCTCAGGGCGCGGGCGGTCGCGCAGTGCGTGAGCCGCGCGGGCGTGTGTGAGTGTATTGTTGTGCACAGAGTGCACAGGCATGAGGGGTGAAGCGATCCTGGCCGAGCCGCCCGGGAGCGCGCGCGGCGTGCCACGCGCGCCTCGCCTGGTGGAACGGGGCTGTCGCGGGGTGCAGTGAGCCGCGCAGTGGGCGGGCGGCGCGAGCGTGCGTGTGTGTTGAGTGTCCAGCAGGTCTGCTGCACAGCCTGCTGGCAGGCTGTGCAGCAGATCTGGTCGGGTGGCGGGGCGTGTGCGCGGCGGCCGCCGCGCGCGGCGTGCCGCCGCGCGCGCCTCGCGCGGTGGAGCTGCGTCGTGCCGGGCGCGGCGCGCTCTGGTACGGCATGGTGCCTGATGCAGGTGTGCAGGCGCCTGGCAAAAGGCGTAGACTGTCAGTGAGGTTCAATGCGGCGCGCTCGTCGCGGCGTGAGTGGTCGTGCGCCTGGCTCTGGTGGTGCGAGAGGCGCGTGGCTGGTGCGGGCGGCGCGGGACGGCCATGGGGCGCCAGCACAGGGCTTGCGCCCATGACACAGGCAAATTTGCGCTGCGCGTGTGTTTGCGTGCGCGCGGGGACGTACGCGCGGATTTCACGCGGTGTGCGTGGAGAAGGGCATGAGGGGCGCCGGCCGCGCGTGTGTTGGCCCCCGTGAGAGTGTGGTGCCCGAAGGCGAGAAGGGGCCCGAAGGCCAGGAGGACTAGACTTGCGCCCCGCTAGCAACGAGGCTTACAAGAAAAGTAGGAATTCGAATTCCTATCATGACGTGCAGAATGTAGCACGTACTTGAATGTAGAATGTAGAGGCTCCGATCAAGAGCCTGCACACACCCCTCACTCACCCATTGGCAAAACCATTCCACTCAGCGTCAACATGACTGTGTTCAAGATGACGGCATTGTCAGTCCCACGTGGTGCCACTGTTTCAGCAATGGTGCCAACGAGCGCAGCAATCGCGACCGCCAGATCGATGGGGTAGATGAATGCGCACTGTTCAGGAAAGGCCATGCTCACCATCCGCATGGACACATAGTTTGCCCCCAGGCAACCGATGACCCCCTCGACAGTCTTGATGTTGATGTCTCCAAACCCCCAAACAGGAAACTCGCACCGGCCGCAGAACCCTCCCACCAACTCTCCAAAGGTGTCCCCCCACATGACTCCCTGCATCGATAACAGGAAGAACACACGCCCCTGCTCATCAGTGAGGCCCAAGAGATAGGGCAGCATGAAGCACCACAGCAGGCCCATGTAGTGCCATCCGGAAACCATGAGGATGTTGAATCTGCCTAGGGAGCCGTCCCGAGTTCGTGCAGTCACGCCCAGGAGAAGGCGGCCGAAGAAGCCTTCATCCCGTTCCAAGAAGACTTTCAGCCAAAAGGAAAGGGTCTCACACATCAGCGCCAAACGAAACATCTCCGGAAGATTGGAAGCGAGACCGAGATACCAGTACAACCTCCAGGAGTTGGCCACCAAATGAATCCAACGTCGATTGAAGGCGTCGATGGCCTTGATGGTCTGCTCGCCGTAGGTCTCGTGGTAGTAGTGGATCTCATTCTTACCCGGTGTCCAGCCGCTTCGGTCCCCAACCAAAAACTCGTAATCCTGTTCGGGCATCTTTAGCGGCCAGGTGCAGTACAAGAACCGCCTCATCATCAGCTGCAGCACCTTGATCGCAAGCTGAGAGGCGATCCAAAACGGCACTTTGAGCGCCTCGTCAGGCGACCAGCCCATCTCCAGTAGTGGCCTCAATGTCGGCTCGAATCGAAAGCAGAAGGTTGCGGCAGTGACGGCAAACAAGCAGCCCCAGGTGCACCAACCCACGGTGCGCAAGTCCCACCTGTGCCGGTCGCCACCAACCTGCAGCATCAAAGTGAGCGAGTATCTCTTGAGCAGAACTGCCACCGACTAGCTGGCGTGGGGCGCCGGGCAATGGCGCCCCGAGTCCTCCGTCCCCTCCGTCCGTCTGTCTCCGCTTTGTGTTGTCGGTCGGGCTAGTATGAACGGGACACCCTGGGAATCCACCGGCGTACTACTTGGCTAGCACGCTATTGGCATGCCGCTAAGGGAGCAGCGTTGCGCGCGCGCGGCACACACATTCACGGTGGGGTGTGCGAAACGAAAAAAAAAAAGCGGGATGGAAAACCCGGCGCCTGGCTAGCCTCCACCTAGTACAGTTGTAGGCATGTCGTCCACCTGCGTCGCCGGGGTCTTCGACTGCGCGAGTCCGCTCGCCGACCCGGACACCTGTGCTCCATACAATGACGCCTACATCTCGCAGGAGCATAATCTCGGCCTCCTCGTCGTTGCCTCAATGGTCGCCGCCTTCATGTGATTGCCACTGCCACCACGCCCGCCGCTGCCGCACGCCACCACGCCACCACGCCACGTCCTGCTCGCCACCAGGTGCTTCACGATCGGCGCCAACGACTCTGCCAACGCCTGGGGCTCGACGGTGGGCTCCGGCGCCGTGCCTCTCTCTGTCGCGGTGACGCTCGGCGGGTTCGGGGAGTGGCTGGGCGCGACGCTGCTCGGGTACGGCGTGTCGGACACGATCAAGAAGGGTGTTGCCGACACCACCGACCCCGACTGCTGGGCGTGCGGCTACTGCGACAGCGGCATGGCCGTGTACGCCGTCGGCATGCTGTGCGCGCTGCTGGCGGCGGCCCTCTTCCTGCTGCTCGCGACGTTCGCGGCGATGCCGGTGTCGACGACGCACGCCATCGTCGCGGGCGTGGTCGGGATGACGATGGTTGGCTCGGCGGAGATGGACGGCGTCGCCTGCCTCAACTGGGCGTGGAGTGGCGGACTCACCTCCATCGTCGCGAGCTGGGCCATCTCGCCGCTCTTCTCGGGCGCCGTCGCCTTTGCCATCTTCCGCGCCACTAAGTTCGCCGCCCTCGACGCCGCGCGGCCGGGCTCGGCTGCTCTGCTCCTCTCCCCCTTCCTTTACTCGACGGCGGCGTGGGTCATGACCTTTCTCATCATGCTCAAGTCGCAGCCGACCAAGCAAATCGAGCGCTCCACGCAGGCGCTCACCGCTTGCGTCGTCGCCGGCCTGACCCACGCCTACGCCTCCCTGCTGGCCCCGCGCGTGCGAGAAGCGATGCCGACCGTGCGCGCGCTGCGGGCCGAGCAGGAGCAGTCCCACCGGGCGGTGCGTGAGCTCTCGGCGAGGCTGGTGCGGCTCGAGGCCGCCTACCGCAGCCTAGAGCAAGCTCACTCTGCGCGCAAGCCGCCCTCCGCCGGACTGCTCGGCGCCCTCCGCGAGCGGATCGGCGCGGACGACCCTGCCGCCTCCCCCTCCCCGCGCTGTGCGCCCGAGCCCGGCGCCGAGGTGCTCGAGGTGCGCCGATCTCCCTCTCCTCCTACACCCTCCCCTCACCCGTCCCCTCCCCGCCGCCGCCGTCCCACGCCCCCCCCCCCTCCCTCCCCCCGCTGCGCGGCGAGCGCTCTCCCTCGCCCCACTAGTGACTGGCTGGCCGACCACTGAACGGCGAATCGTGCCTGCCGGAGGTGCGGCGAGAGCTCTCCCTCGTCGACTCGCTCGCCTCGAAGCACGCAGACATGCTGCGCGCCATGGCGCTGCAGCCGCAGGCGACGCCACCGGCGGCGATGGGCGGAGGGGGGCTGCGCACGAGCGGGCTCGACGAGGAGGGCGGCGAGGCAGGCGAGGCGGGTCCGCTGCCCCCCCTGGCGAGCGAGTGGAGCCCTCCCCTTGATCTTCGGCGGAACGACTCCTCAGGCGCCAACTGCGCGAGCGAGTGCGGATGCTGGGCCGAAGAGCCGGAGCCAGGCGAGAGAGCGGCGAGGGCGCGGTGAGGTGGGGAGGGCGCCGCCCCTTTGACACGCCACTGCTGTGGGAACAGGCGAGAGCGCCGAGGACGCGGTGCACGTCTTTCGGTACGTCGTCGTCTTCGTCGCGTTCCTCGAGTCCTTTGCTCACGGAGCAAACGACACGGCCAGCCCGACCTCAGACTCGTCCGCCCGTGAACCCCCGAGGTCGCCCCGAGGTCACCCCGAGGTCCGCCGACACGTAGGCCAACTCGACTTCGGCCTTCTCCGCCGTGTACACCGCCTTCTCGTCCGACATGGCCGAGTGCGACTCGACGGCCACACCGTGGTGGGTCATGTCCGTCGCCGGCGCCTTCGTGGCCCTCGGCGTGGTGACGCTGGGCTACCGGGTGATCCAGACGCTCGGCAGCGACATCGCCGAGATCGACTTCCACATGGCGTTTTGTGTCGAGTCCGCCTCGACGGTGACCGTCGTCGTGGCAACCTGCCTCGGCCTCCCGATCTCGTCGACGCACTGCCAGGTGGGCGCGATCGTCTTTGTCGGCATGGCAAAGCACGGGCTGCACGGCTCGGACTGCGCCCTCTTCGGCAAGATCGCGCTGACTTGGGTGGCGACGATCCCGCTCGCCGCTGCGATTGCGGCGCTGATGATGCTGCCGGCGCGCGCAGCGATCACTCTGTGAGAACGTGCGCCCCGCGGGGCAGTATGATGAGAGTTTTCCGGAGTTGACCAGCAGCTAGCACGCGGTTTGACCACTGCACTTTGTTTATTTTTGTCCCACCCGCAATAGCTCTAGTAAGAAAGGGTTAGGAACCTACAACCACTACGACCAATTCCACACATGAAACGTCGCTCGTCGGGTGCCCAGCAATTGGCTAGAGTCTATAACGTCGCGCTCTCGCTTAGCCCCCTCCTCTCTCCCACATGCCCTTACTTCTTATAGTTCTTTCACGCACAATTCAAAGTATTGCTCACGCACTTGCTCAAGAGCCGTGTCATTTCACACGATTCAATACACGTGACACATCGCCACAGTAGGCTCTACACACACTACACTCTACAGGTACTCGAGGCCGAGGAGTCGCCGCATCGCCTCAAATAGGGGGAAGGTGAGGATTGCGTGCGGGCCGAGCCTGAGGTGTGGAGGAAAGGGGGGGGGAGATGTGTCAGCAAACGTTGCGCGCGAGTGCGGGGATCGGGCCAGGGCACCTCCCCCGCATCAAGGCGCACCGCCGTGTGACACCAGACAGGGCAGAGGCGGCGGCCTCACGGCGCAGTGAGAGTGTGGCGATGCGGCACGGAAAGCGAGGGTGCGTGTCTCGTGCGCGCGCCTGAAATAGGTTGGCAGCCAGCCGTTGAAGAGCGCGAGAGGGCCCTCCTGTGCAGAGGTGGCCCCGAGATCAGCCGAGATTGGTCGAGATGGAGCCGCTGCCGGCGCGACGCCTCTCCTGCCGCAGCAGCCGCAGCAGGACGGAGGCGAAGCCGTCGGCGGGGTCGGCAGAGGCCATGACACGGCTCTTGAGCAAGTCGAACGGCGCGGCGACCTAGGGGTAGGGGTAGGGTTAAGGATAGGCTTATAGCTCTTGAGCAAGTCCCTGGGGGTAGGGGTAGGGTTAAGGATAGGCTTATAGCTCTTGAGCAAGTCCCTAGGGGTAGGGGTAGGGTTAAGGATAGGCTGAGGCTTCACTGTGGTGGCGACGACGCCGGTGATGAGGGAGACAACGACGTGCAGCCTGCGGAGGAGGACATGCACATGTGCAGGAGAGAGGGTGGCGGCGAAGGGAGGGGAGGGGAGCGGAGCGGGAGCGGGACTCGCACCCGAAGCCGTCGGAATAGCGTCTTCTGAGCCAACTCTTTGTCTGGTCGTAGGTGGTCACCTGACTCAACACTCATCCATCCGACGTCTCGGAGCCCTCGCCTCATCTCGGTCCATCTCGGCCCTCTCAGAACGGAGGGAAGGAGGCCACCACGCCGCGGCGATGGTTCAGTGAGGCTGGGTAGGCTCAGGGGAGGTTGAGGGGAGGTCAAGGAGGGGGGGGGGGGGGGGTGCACGGAGGCGGCACCTCCCCAACGGCGATTGCGGCGCCTCTCGGCGCGCTCGCCGACGCGCCGCGCAGCAGCAGCCCGCGCACCACCCCCTCGGCGCGCGCCACCTCCCCCATCGCCGACAGCAGCGAGCTCGACGAGCCGGCCGCAAACTGCCGGATCTTGACGACGTCAAAGGCGTTGGCACAGAGGGAGCCGAGGACGCCGGTGCCGCTCGCGGCGGCGACGCGCTGCGGCAGCGTGGGCTCGTCCGCGCCCGAGATGACGTCCCGCACCACCGGGTACAGGCCCTTGGTGCAGCCAGAGTACAGCATCTCGCGCGCAACCGTCGCCTTCAGGCCCGGCCGCCAGAGCGCGACGGCGCCGCCCTCGGCGTGCATGCTCCGCCCGATCTCGACGGCCGACTTGTCGCGGAACTCGTAGAGCTGCCGGCGCGTCTTGATGACGTCGACAGGGTTGAGGATGGCGCTAACGATCGAGGTCGAACCGCCGCCGGCCATGACCTCGCGCGCAAAGGCGAAGGACGGCGGAGCACGCGGAGGCTCCACACCCGTGCTCATCTGCAGGGCCTGAGGAGCTCCACTCACTGCGGCGCGGTCTTGCTCTGCGGCGCGGTCTTGGGCGCGAAGCCTAGAAAGCTCAGACGACGAAAAAAATCGTACGGTCCGCCTCCACCGCCGCGCCCTCGCCAGACACCCCGCCGCCCGCCCGCCTCCTCGACCTCCCCACGGACCTCCTCGTGCGCGTCTTCTCCCGCTTTGCCAGCCCCGCCGACATCGCTCGCGTCGCGGCCGTCTCGCTCCTCTTCCACGCCTCGCTCGCAGTGGAGGGCATCCGCTTGTGGGCGCAAGAGCGCGGCTTCGAGCTGCCGGCGCAGCCAGAGGGCGAGAGCTGCGCCGTGCGGTGGCTGTGCGACTGAGCGTGCATGATCACAGCTCAAGAAGCTCAGCGCGTGTTGGTTGGGGGGCGGGCGGCGGCATACCGCCGTCGTAGACCTCCCTCTCTGGAAAATGTTGAAGAGCCCCACTGCCCACACCCATTCGCAGTCTCTCTAGAACAAACAGCAAGCCGCGAGCGCAGGGACCGTACGTGTTACAAAGCTAATGCTAAAGCACGCTCTACGATCTAGCCGAGAGGTAGCGCGATTTGCAATCCCACCGGCACATGGTCGCTCTGGCGGCCTGCGGCGTGCGCTGTTATCTTCGAGTATATGATTGGGCGGACATGGGCCACCTGCGGCTCGGGCACGAGGACGAGGTCCACGCGCGCGCACCATCCATTCCGCGATCTGTGCCGGCCTTGGTCCTGAAAACTGGTGAATTCCTTCCTGCGCGGGTTGTGGTAGCGCCAGGCATCGACGAGGCCGCCATCCTTGAGGAGCTTGCAGTGCGCATCGCGCAGCTGCACCGCGCGCTCCTCCCAGGCGCCGTCGCCGTCCTCCCCGGCCAGAAAGAACTTGCCCCAAGGGGTAGAGCAGTCCAGCTCGTCGGACGGCGCCACGTTCATGTCTCCGACGACTGCGAGGAGCCGATCCTTGTGCTTGGAAAGGAGGGAGGTGAGGTCCTTCTCGTAGTCGAGTCGCTTCTCCAGCCGGCCTTGCCTGCCAGAGACGGTCGGCATGTAGGTGCCGACCACGAGACCAAACTTCGTATCATACGCAGTCACCCGGTGCTCATCGTCCCACAGCAGCTCAAGAAGCTGGCCTCCGGCGAGCTTGCTCCCCTTCTTGACGAGCAGCGCGACGCCACGGCCTGGGCTCCGATAGTAGCTGCCAGCCGGGATGTGCCAGTCGTACTGGGGCGTGGCTTCCTTCGCCCGCTTCTCCGCCTTTTCGTCGCAGAACTTCGTCTCCTGCAAGCAAAGAATGTCCGGCTGGAAAGAAAGCTCGCGTAGCATCATGAGCAGCTTGTCCTGGCTGCTGCCAGACTTTGGCGCAACCGTCGCTGCATTCCACGAGCAAATTGTTGCGTGATGCGGCGTGAGTGGCGGCGCGGCCACGGCGGCAACCGTTGGCGTGGCCGGGACCGGGGCGCTGCTGCAGACCTCCGGCTCCCCTCGAGGGCGCTTGCGCACGGTGAACACGGTGCCGGGCTTGCGCATCTTGTCGAGTGCGAGCTCGTCACCATCGTTGAGCGCACTGCGCTGCTGCTGAGTAAGCAGTCTCCACGCGCCGCCAGCCGGACGTATGCCAGTTGGGTTCTGGCCCCGCGACTCCACGCGAAGACAGCCCGCCTCCACCGTTAGGCTGCACTGGACGCGGCTGACGGTGCCGTGAGCAAATGCCTTGCCGTAAGCGCCAAACAGTCGCGCGCGGCCGAGATCGAAAGCGCTGGCGGCACCCTCCGTGCACGGCAAATCGATCGTGATGTCGCCTTCGAGCGTGCTGTCACCCTCGAGGCTCCACTGCGACATGCAGTTAGGCCAGACCGGCGGAAATTCTTTTGAGCTCGCCTTCGATGTATTGTAAGAGAGTGATGGACACTCACTCACTCACACCTTCGATGTAATGAAACAAACGAAGGCGGACACACACATGACACATCGCTCTCGGGCCCCCACAGACATCCCGCACACCCGCCGCCCCCGCGCGCGCCCCACCCCGGCCGGGAGAAAGGGGAGTGACAGTTTGGGATGGCAACAGAACGAGTCATTGTTGAGTCCTGGGCCACAACCTGGGCGTGCGCGCCAGTCCCGTGCCCAGTGTCGTGCGAGCGAGCTGTGGTAACATGCGTTTTCTCGCACGTCCTCGCGGGAGTCGCTTAGGCGGCTCCCGTGGTGCACCTGTGTTGGTGCGCGCCAGTCCCGTGCCCAGTGTCACACAGTAATTCTTTTTCAGGAAAAGTCTTTTTCTCGCGATGTCTGCCTGGGCGCAAAAGCGCGAAGCCTAAAGCTCGGCCAGGCCGAAAAAAATCGACGGGAACGCCTCCCCTCCACCGCCGCGCCCTCGCCAGACACCCCGCCGCCCGCCCGCTGAGCCCTGGTCTGACAGCCTGACAGCAACCCCCGGACAGCGCCTGACAGCGCCCGACAGCCTGACAGCGCTGACAGCTCTTTCTCCGACAGCCTGACAGCACGTATCTGACAGCCTGACAGCAGAGTCTGACATCAGAGGTGCTCCGTCGCTGTCAGGCCCCAACGTGACAGCCTGACAGCTGCCCGACAGCCCGACAGCACACAGTGGCCTGACAGCAGCGCTGACAGCCCGACAGCCCGACCAGCCCGACAGCAGCACAGACCGTACACAGGCCGTGCAGCCTCTTTCTTGTGCCCCATGAGGGTATAACAAAACTATTACATGCAAAGACATGTGAGTGTGGTCCATGCAGTGTCAAAGGTTGCAGCGAGAATCGGCGAGGGACTGCGAAAAGAGAGATAGGAAGAGGCAGACGCCCAAGGGTGGGCGACGGCTAGCACCACACCCCTCTCCTTAAAATCCCTGTGTGGTGGCGGCCTGCCGTCCTCCCATCCCTCCCTTGCGCCTTGGTGGTTGGGTTGTCTTGAGCACTTCTGCTCTTGGAGCACTTGGAGTTGCAGTTATCAACCCGCACGCCCAGGGTCGGGGAGTCTGTTTTCTTTCTTTCTTTCTAGGCACGGGACTGGCGCACACTGGCACTAACACAGGTACACCGAGAGAAGAATTTAAGAAGGGTCACACTTCTTTCTTTCTGGACTTGCTTGGGCGCGAGTGACCTGTGCCGTGGTACGGTGGAGGAACGCGCCGTTGTATGTAGCTCGGCAAGTAGTAGGTAGGCGGGTGTGGTGGGTGGGTGGGAGTGAAGAAGACGGACACAGGAACAGATGTCGCTTCGATTCTTCTTTTTTGGGGGCTCTCCCCATGTCAGGAGTGCTGGCCGTGTCGGTGAGTGCTGGCTGCCTGGCCCTCAATGAAGGTGAAGATCACCGGGTTGGATGGCGGCGACGCGCAGGCGGCTGCGGAGTACGATGATGGCGGCGAGTATGACGGCATACCGCAGGAGTTTGTCGCTCCGCCTCCGAAGGAGCGGCGCACGCAGCGGACGCTGGCCGCCGGGCTGATGGAGTCGACCGCGGACGGCGCGGACGACACGAGCGGCTGCAGAGACTTTCGGCGCGAGCTGGAGCTCAAGCAGCACGCGGCGTCGCGGCCTCTCTGGGTGTGTCCCGACGGCCGGATTGTGCTCGAGGCGTCGTCGCCCGTCTATGCGCAGGCGCTCGACCTGCTCGTCGCCATCTCGGAGCCCGTCTCTCGGACGCGGCACATGCAGGAGTACCAGCTGACGCAGTACTCGCTGTACGCGGGTGCCTCGATGGGGCTCCGCACACAGGACATCACCGCCGGCCTCGAGCGCTTCTCAAAGTGCGGCTTGCCCGAGGAGGTCCGCGCGATGGTCGCCGAGTGCACAGAGCGCTACGGCAAGGTGAAGCTCATCCTGCGCAACGACCGGTACTACATCGAGTGCCCTGGCGACGGCGCCGCCTTCGATGCGCTGCTGCACGACGCGCAGATCGCCGAGATGCGCGTGCTGCGAGACGCCGCCGAGGAGATCCCAGACCATCTCCGCGCCGCCGCCGCGCAGTTGCCCACCGGAGTCGCGGACGGCGGCGGCGCGGCGGCGGGCGCGGCGGCGGGCGCGGCGGCGGGCGCGGCGGCGGGCGCGGCGGCGGGCGCGGCGGCGGGCGGAGATGGCGCGGCGGCGGGCGGAGACGGCGCGGCGGCGGGCGGCGCGGGGACGAGCGGCGGCGGCGGCGGCGGCGCGGGTAGCATTGTCGGACTGATGGGCGCGGCGGCGTTTGACGAGGACGAGCCGTCTTTCTCGCGGCTGGAGCACCGCTCTTTTGAGGTGGACGCGTCCAAGATCAAGCAGGTCAAGGAGCGCTGCAACGAGATCGACTGGCCGCTGCTCGAGGAGTACGACTTTCGGAACGACGCCGACGCGTCGGCCCTTCCGGTCGAGCTGCGGCCCGAGACGCGCGTGAGAGACTACCAGCAGGCGGCGCTCGGCCGCATGTTTGGCTCGCACCGCGCGCGCTCCGGCATCATCGTGCTTCCGTGCGGCGCGGGCAAGACGCTGGTCGGCATCACCGCCGCCGCCACCATCGGCCGCTCGTGCCTCGTGCTCTGCAACTCGGCCGTGTCGGTGGAGCAGTGGTACCAGCAGTTCCTGATGTGGACGACGGTGCCGAAGGAGCGCGTCACCAAGTTCACGGCCGGCACGAAGGAGAGGCTGCACCCGGAGGCGTGCGTGCTCGTCTCGACGTACAACATGATCTCTTTCCCCGGCCGGCGCTCCAAGGAGGCGCTCGAGGTGATGGCGGACGTCGAGGCGCGAGAGTGGGGGCTGCTGCTGATGGACGAGGTGCACTCATTAATTAACTATTAATTCACTATTAATTAAATTTTGAACTAATCTGCTGATGGACGAGGTGCACGTGGTTCCCGCCAACACCTTCCTCACCTGCACCATCAAGACCAAGTCGCGCTGCAAGCTCGGGCTCACCGCGACGCTCGTGCGCGAGGACGACAAGATCGGCGACCTCAACTTTCTGATCGGCCCGAAGCTGTACGAGGCCAACTGGCTGGACCTGCAGGCGAAGGGCTTCATCGCCACCGTCTCGTGCGCCGAGGTCTGGTGCCCCATGACCGCAGAGTTCTTTGCAGAGTACCTCCGCCAGCCGGTCGCCGTCGGGAGGCAGCTCTACGCGATGAACCCGAGCAAGTTCCGTGCGTGCGAGTACCTCGTCCGCTTCCACGAGGCGCGCGGCGACAAGGTGATTGTCTTCTCGGACAACGTCTTCGCCCTCAAGAAGTACGCCATCAAGCTCAAGCGGCCGTACATCTACGGCCCAACCCCACAGCACGAGCGGATGATGCTGCTCGAGAAGTTCAAGTCGACGAGCGAGTGGAACACGCTCTTCATCTCCAAGGTGGGCGACACCTCCATCGACCTGCCCGAGGCCAACGTCATCATCCAAGTCGCCTCCCACTTTGGAGCGCGGCGGCAAGAGGCGCAGCGGCTTGGCCGGATCCTGCGTCCAAAGGCGCGGTTTGCCGGCGACTCCACTGACCCCCCCCCCCCCCCCCTCTCGTTGTCTCGTTGTCTCTCTCTTTCCCTCGAGCCTCGCCGGGACGCTTCTCGGAGCCCTCCCCGCAGGCGCGCGTCGGTGACTCGTTCAACGCCTTCTTCTACACGCTCATCTCGCGCGACACGCAGGAGATGTTCTACATTATTATCATTACATCATTATCATTACATCATTATCATTACATTATGACACGCAGGAGATGTTCTACTCGACCAAGCGGCAGCAGTTCCTCGTCGACCAGGGCTACGCCTTCAAGGTGATCACCAACCTGGTCCCCGACGGGCAGGACGAGCTGCTCTACTCGACGCAGCGCGACCAGCTCGACCTGCTCCGCGAGGTGCTTACCGACGCAACTTCGGCCGAGGCGCAAGCCGAGGACGCCCGCGAGGCGGCCGAGGTGGAAAAGGACTCTGGCGGCGCGGCGGTGTACGGAGGAGGCGGCGTGTCGCGGAAGCGCGCGTCGATGAGCGAGCTCTCGGGCGGCGACGGCCTCACCTATGCGGAGACGAGCCGCAGGAGCGCGCCGGCGGGGCCGAGCCAGCGGCACGGCGTCTTCAAGCAGATCGACAAGGCGCGGCAGCAGCAGCGCGGCGGGAGGTAGCACCGGCCAGAGACCACCGCAGCAGCGCCAGCGGGGTCTCTCTCTCTCAGTCTCTCAGATACAGTCAAACTCTTGGACGTGCCGCTCTGCGGACTGCGCCCCCCCGGCCGCCGCCCGCGGCGGCCCCGCTCAGCCGCTCGCTCTCGCGGCTCGTCGGCTCTCCGGCACCAACTTGATTCGTAGATGCGCGTCTCCCCCGCTCCCCCTATGTGCCGCCACCCCCCTCCAATCCGTAATTCCGTAAAATCGCGTGAAAAGCGCCCTACACACGTCTGGACGTGCTATACGAATCGAGCTGTGGTGTGTGGAGAGCGGCCCCCACTCCAAGAGATGCAAGAGAAAGCGCTTGGAGCACTTGGAGTGCTGGAGTGCAAATAAGAATTATCAGCCTCACATCCCCAGGGCCGGGGGCTAAGAAGCACAGCTAGCTTGGAGCACTTGGAGTGCAGTCATTAGCCTCACATCCAGGGCCGGGGAGCTGAGAAACGCACCCAGCGGGCCGGATGATCGGGATCAGGTTACGGCTCTTACGGGCTAGCTAGAGAGCCCTATATAGCCCTGGGGGGTGCGCGTGTTCGCGGGGAAAGGGCCGTAAAGTAAACACGGTTCTCCGAGGGTTGGACCCGCGTACCGGGTTTCCCCTTAACTGCAGGACGCCCCCTCTACTCGGAGCTAGTGGACATTACACTGTACACCACGGACCACGCCCAAACACACAGACACGTGCTTAGTCCCCGGTCCCGGAGCTCCACCTTCCGACCTCCCGGGGCCCCGGTTCTCCCCGATTCGCTCTCTTGCTCGCTTGCCGAGCGTCATACGACCCGGCCGGTGTGGTGGTGTGGTCGTTTCCCTCGTTGCCCCCCCCCCCCCCCGGGGTGGAATAAATAAATAAAACGGGCACGCCAAACGAGGGGTGGGAGAAGGACAGGGTCCCCACCTGCACGAGCAGGATCTTGTAAGGACGATCAGGGACACAGGGGAACGGGAGCGGGGAGCGCATCGCGACACGGAGGGGGGCTGGGCAGGGTTCATTCACCCACACGACAGGGTCCCAGGGATTCCCCTCTCGTATAGGACAGGTTGCACCCGGCGGCACGGGGGCAGGCGCGGGCCTCCTACTGGTTGCGCTCTCCTAGTTCTCCTGTTCTTGACAAGGGACAGCGGGGTGGGGCGGCAAGGGTCGTGCCAGGTAGAGCTCTACCGCCTTTCGTCTTCGCCCAGCTCCTCCCGGCTCACCCGGCCACTACAATGTACACGCTGAGTCCCAACGTCGCCGCCCGCCTGCCGATAAAGATCGCAAAAGCGGCGGAACATGGCAAGGTGGGCGTGGTGCAGACGTGGCTCAGCGGGGACGGGCTGGTTGACGCGACGTGCGTGCGTAGTGGTGTGGGTGGATGTACGCTCCTGCTGATCGCCGCCGGACGCGGTCACAAGCAGCTGATCGAGCTGCTGCTGAAGCGCGGCGCGGAGGTGAACGCGCGAGATAGCGAGGGCAATCATGCGCTGATGGCCGCCGCCCAGGAAGGCCACGAGCAGGTGGCCGACTCGCTGTTGAGGTACGGTGCGGCGATCGAGCTGCGGAACAAATATGGCAGAACTGCACTGATGGCCGCTGCCCGCTTCGGCCGAGAAAAGGTTGTCTATGCGTTTCTGCAGCATGGCGCGGAGGTCGATCTGCAGGATGGTCTCGGCACCACCGCGCTGTGGTACGCCGCCTACAGCGGCCTTGAGGGATTGGCCGACTTACTGCTGCGGCACGGGGCAGAGGTCAACCTTCAAGCTTTCGACGGCACCACTGCGCTCGCGTGCGCCGCCTTCTACGGCCACCCTGCTTTCATGCTTCGCCTGCTGCGCGCGGGTGCGGACATGACGCTGCGCAATGTGGCTGGCAAGACGGCGCTGCAGGTCGCCAAAGAGAAGGGCCACACCGAGTGCGTCGCCGCCGCCAGGACGTATCTCAGCGAGGTGGCAGCGGGCCGGCGCGAGGCGGCGGCGGCGGAGGCGGGCTCGGCGGCGGCGGCGGCGGCAACGAGTGCCGCGCCTATCGTGGATGCGACTGGGGAGGGCAGTGAGGCGTTGCTGGTCGAAGCGCTGCAGCTTGCAAAGAAGATTGGTCACCGCGAGTGCATTAGTGTCCTGGAGGAGCGTGCGGCGGCGGAGGCGGCGGCGGTGGCGGCGGCCGAGATGGCGGCGAGGGAGGCGGCAAGGGCGGTGGCGGAGGTGGAGGCGTCGCGACATGCCACGGCGCTGCTGGCGGAGATCGAGGCAGAGGAGGAGGCGGAGAGGCGTGGCAAGGGCAAGAAGGGCAAGAAGAAGAAGAAGAAGAAGAAGGGCGGCGAGGCCGGACCGTCGCAAGAGGAGGCTGAGGAAGCGGCTGCGTTGGCGGCGGTGGAAGAGGCAAAGCTGGCTGCGGCGTTCGAGGAGAGTACGAGGCTGGAGGACGAGGCGAGGCGAGGGGCCGACGAGGCGTCGGGCTCCGTGCTACAGGACGCAGCTCTGCCCCCCGAGCCGGCCGCAGGGAGTGAGGTGCCGCCCGAGCTGCAGTGCCCGCTCTCCTTCGAGGTCATGTCAGACCCGGTCATGAACGTCGCTGGCCAAACCTACGAGCGGTCGGCCATCGAGAAGTGGTTCGCGATGGGCCACCGAACCGACCCGATGAGCGGCGCGGTGCTCGAATCCACGTTCCTGGTGCCGAACGTGCTCGTGCGTGGGATGTGCCGCAAGTACGCCGCTGCGTGAAGGGAGGGGGTCGCCGAACGGAATGAAGGGGTCAGGGGTGGTTCCGCGGTGCAGAGAAAAGGTGGCGTGAGGGTGGGTTGGGCGCCCCGGGATTGTGTGTGACGTTGGTCTGCCTGAAGAAGAAGAAGCGCGATCAAGACGCCGAGAAGCCTTAGAAGCGTGCTATTCTCCAGCGCGCGCGCGCGCAAACGATGCATGTGACGGGCTCGGGGAGCGGGTGGGCCCCTTCCGGGCCCCGCCCTGGAGCTGCGGTAGCGGGGAGGCTGCGCTCCTGCGGTCGCAGCTTTCGCGCGCCGCGCTGTCCTCGACTTGGAGCGCGGCTAAACACAAACAGGCCGTGACGGCGGCCCAGGTCGCCGGCCCCCTAGGCGTCAAGTAGCCCGAACCCTCGAGATGAATTGCTCCGCACTTGGAGCACTTGGAGTGCAGTCATTAACCTCACATCCAGGGCCGGGGAGCTCAGAAGCGCACCCAGCGGGCCGGATGATCGGGATCGGGTCCGCGCGGGATTTTCTTCTTTCTGCCGTGCTGTGCTGCGAGAGAGTGAGTTTCCTTTCCTGATGCATGAGCTCGAATGAGCGGCGCCATCCGCCCAACCCGCCTCGCCGACCTGGCTCGGGGCGACCTGGCCTCGCTGCGCGCTTTCCTCTCCGGGCAGCGAACGCGCGGCACGTCGCTCGCGGCCCAGCTCGACGCGCGGCACGACACCGAGAGGCAGGACACGCTGCTCACCTGGGCCGCTCGGCACGGGCAGGCCGAGGCGGTGCGGCTACTTCTCGAGGGCGGCGCGAGCGTGGGGGCGACGACTGGCCGCGGCGCTTCCGCGCTGTATATCGCGTGCCAGGAGGGGCAGATTGAGTGCGCCCGGCTGCTCCTCGAGGCAGGCGCGGCGACAGGCCAAGCCGATGAGTACGGCTGCACGCCGCTGTACATCGCGAGCGAGATGGGTCAGCTCGAGTGCGTTCGGCTGCTTCTCGAGGCCAACGCGGCGGTCAACCAAGCCGAGGGGCAAGGCGCCACGCCGCTGTTGATCGCGTGCCAGGAGGGCCACGTCCAATGCGCCCGGCTACTCCTCGAGGCTGGCGCGGCGGTCAACCAAGCCTGCAACGATGGTACCACGCCGCTGTTCATAGCGAGCCAGGAGGGCCACCCCGAGTGCGTCCAGCTGCTCCTCGAGGCTAGCGCGGCGGCCGACCAAGCCAAGCAGAACGGCGCCACACCGCTGTTCATCGCGTGCCAGAACGGCCACCTCGAGTGCGCCCTGCTGCTGCGCGACGCTGGCGCGGCGGTCAACCAAGCAGATTCTGAAGGCGCCACGCCGCTGTTCATGGCGAGCCAGAACGGCCACCTCGAGTGCGCGCAGCTGCTGCGCGGCGCTGGCGCTGACATCAACCAAGCGATGAACTGCGGCACCACGCCGCTGTTCATGGCGTGCCAGGAGGGCCAGCTCGAGATCGCCCGGCTGCTCCTCGAGGCCGGCGCTGACGTCAACCAAGCCAAGCAGAACGGCGCCACGCCGCTGTTCGCCGCGTGCCACTTCGGCCACCTCGAGGTCGCCAAGCTCCTCTCCTCCTACGGCGCCTCCCGAGCTGCAACGCCCCTCGGCACACCCGAGGAGGCCGCAAACAGCCGCGGCCACGCCGACCTCGCCGCCTGGCTGGTCGCCAGCCGCGGCTGGACGCCGCTCGCGCACCTTGAGACCCTCACCGCCGCCCGCGCCACCTCGCTCCTCCGCAGCGGCGCAAGCTTGCACGAGGGCGAGCCGACGCCGCTGCGGCGCGCCGCGGGCGGCGAGGGCGAGGCGGCGGCGCTGGTTCGGCGGGCAGCGGCGCCGTGGTCGCCGGCAAGCCACTCGCTCTTCCCCGCGGCGGCGCGCGCGCGGGCGGCGCTCCTCGTCCTCTCGCTCTACGAGATCCACGAGCGGTACCACCTCGACTCGGCCGGATCCACGAACGGCATCGCGGCGCTCTACTTTGGCCACTGCGTCTTGGGCTTCGCCATCGCGCGCGAGACGCAGTAATAGGGGCCTGCTTTTGCGCGCGGCGTTTGGTGCCGCGCGTATGATTTTGGTCCATGCGGATCGGCTATCATGACGCCTTCGGTCGGCGGTTTGACTTTGCCGCGCGCGCGCGGCAACGGCAGCATGCTCTGGAGTGGCGCCTGGATCGAGGGCGCCTTTGAGTCGCATTTGTGTGGTGTGTCGCGAGCGTGCTAGGTGTATCTCTGCCTGCCTTGTACGTTGTATAGCTGGGTGGGTGGGTGCGGTGGGGGAGTCTCTCGTGGTTTCCATAAGTTACATATTTACGGACTTATTTATGTATGTAAAGAGTGAATGCAGAAGATCGGACAGGGGAGGGACGCGGCCAGAAAGAGGGCGGGCGCCGAGGTTCGAAAGCCGGCGCTTTCGCGCGTTCGAAGGGGCTTTGCACGGAGTTTGTGCGAAATTTGCGGTTGGCCTTCGCCCTGCGGCGAGATGGCACCGCAGGCGGCGTGCGTGCACGAGGGCGGCGGCGTCGAGCGCCGAGCAGCACACCACGAGCGCGAGCGGCAGCGCAGACAACGCGAGGCAGCGGGCGGCACGACCGAGCCGGCGGCGGAGGAGGCGATGGACGTCGAGGCGGTGAGCGCCGCGGACGTGCTGGCCGGCGTGGAGGAGAGCGGCCCGAACTACGCCCTTCCGACGGCGAGGGAGGGCCAGAGGGAGCGGCGGGAGCGGCTGCGGGTGGACGAGACGGCGAAGCAGGCGGGGCACACCATCGTGGAGACGGGAACGCACGTCGAGATCCTGGGCGAGCAGGGCTTGTGGTGGCCGGCCATACACCGCGGAGATTTTTACGGACTGCCACCCCCCTCCCTCCCCGTCCCGCGGCCCGGCCGTGAGACGCGCACATCTACGAATCAAGTTCGAAGTTGGTTTGTAGCGCGGTCTGTCCACTGCGGCGTGCGCGGTGCGGGTCGAGGGTCGTTTGAGTGGTTTGAAGGAAGGCGTAAGGCGAGACCCCGAGAGATAAAAAAGAGAGCGAGCGGCGAGCGCGCGTGTACCGTGTTCAATGTATGTACTAATTATCTCGGAAACACAAAGAATATCGCACCGCGCGGTGTTGACGCGGAACGCAAACACGCAAGGCAAGCCCTTGAAAACGCTAGACGGCCGACTCTCGCAATGCCCTCTACTCTCGTCCCTGTGCGCTGTGTGCGCATCCCGGAACGTATCCTACTCTCGACGCCCCTCCCTGATGTCGACGGACAATGATCCGTGCTCGCCTGCTTCGAAGGGAGACCCTGCTTGCCCCAGCTAATCGAGCTCTGCCGGACCTGCAGCCGGGTCCGTTCTCCTCCTGCTACTATCACCACGTGTGGGACCGGTTTGTGGTCAGCACCAGGTAGTGCCACCCCCCCTCCCCTCGCCCCCCCCGTGCTCCCGCTCGGCGCTACTCAGCGAACCCGGAGAGGCCCTTCTTCTCCCTCTGCTGCTGCCGGTAGCGGAAGTTGGTGATCTCGCGCCGCGTCGTGCAGTACCCGGCTTGGCAGAGCATGTCCCGGAAGGGCATCGGCGCGAGCGTCTTGTGCTGCTCGAGCAAGCCGGCGAGCTTGGGGTCGCCCTTGATGCGGCTCGACTTGAGCGTGTTCTTGGTGTACTTGGCGCAGCACTCCTCGTCCTGCGGGTTCCAGTCGCCCCGCTCCCGCCGCTGCTTCTGCCGCTCGGCATTCTTCTTCATCTTCTCGTCCCATGTGTCGGGCACATTCGCGGCATCGGGATCGGTCTGGTCGACCCAGATGCCCTTCTTGGCGTCCCAGAGCTTTGGCCGCCCGTCCACGCCGTTCGGGGCGCGGCCCCGCGGGCGCTTGCCTGGCGGGCCATCGGTAACCGAGACGGCGACCGCAGCGGCCATCGAGACGAGGCCTTGTGCCGCCATCGGCACGACGGGGCCCGCGGCCGCCTCTGGCGCGAAAGTGACCGGGGCCGCCGCCTCCCACGCCGCAGCGACCTGCGCCTGCGCTGCCGCGAAGTGCCCCTCCTCTGCCGTGACGTGTGCCTCGGGTACGGGTAGTAGTGGGGGCGGGGCCACCTCGGGCTCTGGCGCGGCCATCTCGGGCTCTGGCGCGGCGCGCTTCATCGGAAGCATGGGGTCGCCGGCCGCCTCGGCCACCGCCGCAGTCGCCAGCGGCGGCAGGGCGGCGCCTCCCACCTGCAGGTCGCTTCCCGCGTCAACCTCCATGCTTCCGATGCTGCAGCAGTGGCACCTTTTGGTCGGCAGGGGGCGGGCGGAAGCGTAATGCGCGCGTCGCGAGGAGGAGGAGGCGAGGACGCGGGATGTGGGGGAGGGCGAGGGGAGGGGGAGCTGATGGAGAGTGCGGGGTGACGAGAGCCGCGATCGGAGCGAGCGAAGCGCCGTGGCCGCTGCCGCGAGCAGGTAGAGCGCGCCTTCAAGGTGTAAGAGAAAGTCCGTGCTTTGGCAGGTGCGGCGCGCATCTTTTGCTCGAGATCGTGCTCCATCACCCAAAAGTTTTTTTTTCCATCGCGCGAGTTGCTTTCGAGAGAATTTCCCTCAACCCAAATTTTTCGCGGTAACGATGAATGCGGGATCATCCGATCATGGCGCAGAAGGTGGATGTCCACGCTCAACACGCCGATGCCACATCGCGAGCCGCAGATCTGCACGGACCGTCCACGTGCGACGCGGCTCGACCATCACCTTCCTCGTGGCCTCTGTCGACGAGCGCGCCGAAGGCGACGAGGTCCCGGCCTTCACCGTGTGCGACGAGGCAAGCGGGGCCTTGCGCAAGCGGGATTGCCAGCCTCAGCCGCTATTCGGTCGTGTTGTGCTATGGCTGCTACACCGCACGCGGCGACCCCGCACACGGATCTCTCAGCAGCGGTACATCTAGAGCTCTTGTATCACGGTGCCGACACGGTTATCACGGACACGGAACTCAGGCGAATCAAAGAACGAGAACGAATAACAGGTCCATCTCCCCTGACTCCCCAACTGCGGGCTCCCCCACGCCACGCGCCACTCATAACGCGGGGAGCAAACATCTGAAAAGAGTGAAATGAGAAATCAGGTCAAACGCACGCCTGCTCAGAGGCTGACCCGGACAAGCCCCCCCTGTCGGCGCCGCCGCCCGCCAACGAGTGGGCGCCGGCGCCGTCCCCCGCCGCCCACGGCCGTCGGTACGAGCCGCCGGCGAGCTCCTCGCCTACAGGAGGAGGGTTCCGAGAAGGTTCCGGAGGAGAAAGCACGAGCTGAGGAGGCACACGGTGAGCGCGTCGCCTGGCTGCGCGGGCACGAGGTCGTAGCCGCGCGAGCAGCAGTAGGCGCGCATCGTGTCGGAGAGCACGCGGTCGACCTGCGGCGTGACAGGATTGCGGCGGGAGCGTGGCGGGATTGCGTGTGGCGTGACAGGGAGCGTGACGGGATTGCGGTTGGCAGAGGGGCGAGTGGACCGCGACTCGGGCTCTCTCAGACCCCGCGTCTCGTTGCGCGGCGGCGCCTCGATCTCGGGCGATCTCGGATCCTCTCGCGAGCTCTCGGACCTCGATCTCGTCGGGCAGCACCGCCTCTGCGAGCGCGTCCATGGTGCGCGAAAGGACGCCACGCCGCCGAAACGGCTCGGGCACCCCGACGTGCGTCACGACGAGGCGGCGGGTGTGCGGGGAATGCCACGGGCGCACGGGCGCGGCGAGCTGCAGCTTGAAGGCGACGAAGATCTCCTCGGCCTCGTTCCGAACCGCCAGCTCATACGGCCGCGGGGCGGTGCGGGACCACTGCAGTCCGCCTAGGACTCGAGTAGGAGAGCTCCGAGACACGTCGCAGGAAGAGGCGCCAGCGCCCGCGCACGCCCCCCTGGCTCAGAACGCCATGTGAAGTTGGTCTGACGGTGTCTGCGCCTCTCCATGCACGCAGTCCGCACACCTTGCCTGCCTGCCTGGCCGCCTCACTGTGGATGCATCTAAGCTGCAGGCCGGCTCCGGCGGCGAGGTGGGCGTGGCACTGCGCGAGCGAGCGGAGGATGGGCGTGTCGCGGGAGAGCAAGTAGTCCTACTCGCCGGCAGTCCCGGGAAGGTTCACGGCAGGAGCGAAGCAGACGGGTGTCGCGGAGCAAGCAAGCCATCCTCGAGCGCGGACGGACGCCTTATCGGCGGCGGCGACCCCTCCAACTGCAAGCCATCTTGCGCCGCCGCCGCCGCCGCCGCCGCCGCCGCCGCCGCCGCCTCCTCCGCAAAGAAAGCCCGGCGCGCCGCCGCCGCCGCCGCCGCCTCTTCCCTCGCCGCAGCCTCGCCCGCCTGCTGCAGCCGCACAGTCATTCATTCACGTCCCACTGAGTCGCTTCTTGACTACCAGCCTCGCCCGCCTGCTGCACCCCCTGCAGCTCGCCCTGCAGCTCTGCGGCGGCACTCTCCGCATGCGTAGCACGCGCGCGCAGCGCAGACAGCTGCGCCGAGAGGGTGGCGACCTACCGGGAACGAACTACCACTCCGATCTCGCCCCGATCTCGGCCCGATCTCGGCCCGATCTCGCCCCGATCTCGCCCCGATCTCGGCCCAATCTCCGAGGGCGGAGGCGGCGGCCTCAGCAGAGCGGCAGCCGAGGGCCGTTCGCAACGCCTCTGTCTCGGCCACCTTCTCGTCCAGCGCCTGCTGCAGCGCTGCCGACGTGGCCGCGGAGGCAGCCACGCGCGCGCTGAGCCGCCGGAGATCTGCGAGAAGGTTGGCGAAGCTTTCGCGGGTGGCGCCCTCCCCCCGCCTATGACAAGGGGCCGCGAAGGTTCACGGAAGGGCCTCTTTGCCCCGCCAGCGAACTGGCGCCGTCCGCGCGCCTTTTTTCCGCGCCCGCGCCGCGAAGCCTCCAGCGCCGCCTCCGGCCCCCTTGCCCCAAAGCGTCTCCCCCGAGAGCTCCGCTCCCGAGAGCTGGGTCAGCACCGGTCGCATCGCAGAGGGGCGCCGCCGCTCGGAGCGCCGCCTGAGGCAGCGTCGCGTTTGTGGAGGCGAGCAGGCGCGCCACCGACGCCGCCGTGGACAGCGCCCGGCTCAGCTCGTCCACCTGAGAGGCTAGCGCCGTTTGCCGGCCGCCACGCTTCTTTGCGCCAGCGCCGCGCCACGGTCTCCACGGCCTCCTTGGCTCGAGATCGCCTTGGTCGTCGGCGAGGGGGCGGCCGCCCAAACCAGCCAGCCGCAGTGCAGCCTCTCGTCCCCTCGCCTTGCGCCTCTTGTTGCCGGCGAGCTGCAGGCAGCCAGCGCGCCGAGCATCGAGCGGGGCGGGCGGAAGAGTGGCCACCAGCCCATCGCACGCAACAAGACCGAGGAGGAGGACGGCGGAATGGCTCATGTACAACACGTCGGAGCGGCAGCAAAAACGGCGATATCGGGCGAGTGCCGGAAGAAAAACGCTTCCCCCACCCGCATTGATCTGCTAACAACGAACCTTAACGGCCCCTGCATGGTTTTGCGGCTGAGTGCCCCCCACCCCCCGTGCAAGCCCCACCCGACTGGCGAGTGGGCTTGTGGGCGTGCCGCCCTGCTTGCTCTAGGTTTTAGGTTTGTTGTTGGCAAATCAAGCAACAAATCATCTAAGCAACAAATCATCTACTCGCCCGAGGGTGACCTCTCGAGCGCGCCGGGCTGGCTCCGGGGCTCGCCTGCACACCGCGACAAGGAGGGCAAACCCACGGGGCGAGTGGACTGCTTCAAGGCCGTCGGCACCTTCTTTGGCGACCCTGAAGCCTGCAAGAAGGAGCTCACCGCGCACCTCAGGAAGAAGCTCGCGCCGCTCGACGTCATCGACACGACCGTCGATCGCCTGCGCAAAGACCAAGTACATTGCCGGCATCACGCCGCCCAATGTCGCGTGCGAGGCTCTCGAGTTTGCGCACAACCGCATCCGCAAGTCCTTTGAGAGCATTGCTCGCGCCGACGCCTCGCCCCAGGCGCTCCGCGACCTCGCGTGGCTCCAGGCACAGCTGCCGACCGAGATGGGCGGGTGCAACATCGATACCGCCTTCTCGCGCGCCGACAGCGACTTCTCCATATCGCTCCTCAAGAACTGGCGCACCCTCGTCGCCCATCTTTCGGACACAGCAAAAAAACGTGCTCGTCTTCGAAACCGGAGGCTGTGTATCTCACTGTGTATCCACTGTGTATCCAGACTGAGTGTGGATTCACGTGTATCCTGTGTGTCCAAACACCCCCCCGTGTGTATCTAACACCTAGGCTGCAGCACGCCCCCTCTACTCGGAGCTAGTGATACTGGCGCGCGCGGCGGAGAGGCGGCGAGTACAGGGTGCGCAAGGTTGAATTGTAAAGTACGAGTAAGTAAGTAAGAAGACAAACATCCTCAACGAATGTGACCACCACGGCTGAACTGGAACATAGGATGGAAGGGCGCCTGTTCACAGCATTGCCTGGGTCGCTTGTTGTCGTCGCGAGCAATGTCCTTCAGTTTGCTGTCCGACGACGAGTGTATCCGCATCTTGAGCCATCTGGAAGAACCTGAACTGGACCTCGTTGCTGAGGTCAGTAAAACGTGCGCTCGGGTCGCTCGGTGCGACGCCGTCTGGGCATCCCGCGCCAAAGATCTGTGCGCGCGCTACACGTTCGATCGTCGCGACTTCGAGGGAAACTTCCTTTACCTGCTCGAGCAAGACCCTCTCTTACCTGCCTACGATGGTCCTCCCCTCCGCATGCCGTACCTCACACCGGAGAACAGTGGACAGGGTGATCGCAAGATCGACGACATGGGTCTGCAGCATCGCTGCTACCCGAGCGCTCAGCGGGGCCGCGCTCCGAGCGAGCGCGAGCGCGTCTGGGTCACGACCGAATTCCCCGTCACCTGCTGCGGAGCTCGCCACGCCTCCCGTGCTGCCCTTGAGCAGCACTGCCTCGACATGTGCCACTACGAGCGAATGCAGTCCGCGCGCGGGAACGGGCGTCTGCCTGACTCTTGGATTGACCCACGGCTGCGCCTTGGGCAAGCGGCATTCACGGCGCTCCCCAAGCGCGAGCAGTACCTGCGCGTGCACCTCTATGTCGCGAAAGTCTTGCCGGAAATCGAGGTCATGAGCGACCCTGAAAACTGGGACGTGCTCGACAAGGCGAACCTGGAACGGCTGTCGCGACAGGGCTTGGCGTTCCTGGAGGAGTTGATCGCGGGTGCGAATCGCGATGGCTTCGATGAAGATCTTTTTGATGAGCTCGTTGCCTGCTGCCGCGCCTCGAACCGACCGCCATCGGCGAGCACATTTGCGCCGCGGTAGCCGAGGGGTTCCGAGCCGCCGGCGTGTACTCGGAAGTACCAAACGTGCCGTACTTCTCGGTGCGCGACTTTCTCACAAGCGGGCTGGCAGGGTGCGATCCAGACGGCGGCTCGAGCTCGGGCGCGCAGTGGTGGTCCGGCGTGAGCGAGATCTTTGAGCACCACTACGAGGGCGAGCTCTCGTGGTGAGGCCGGTTGCGAGCTCTCGTGGTTCAGCCGCGCCGGCTCTGATCCTCTGCCTCTGGGCGGGTGCACATGACTGCCGCGCACAGTCTCCCGCCCAGACTGTGCGATGAACGCTGAAAACAGATCGTTCTCTCCGTTCTTCTGTGCGTGATCTCCACGAGCCAGATCACCAGGATTACACATGAGTTCGTCACTCTAGACCCACAGAGCTTTCGTCTTCCCGACGGGAGATGACGGCACAGCGCCAGCGTCTCTCACCAATCTGGCTCCCGTCTCGCAAAGTGCGTACCTAAGTTCAAAAAAGGAAAATCATGCCATGCCATGTTAACGAGCGGAGCACGACCCACACGCTGCTCGAACCCTCTTGTCGCTCATGACCTGTGGACGTGGTTACTGTGAATACTTACTCTTACATTACAGCTGTACAGATCAATTCTAGATACTAGAACATACAAATTCGAATAAAACATAGTTGCAAGCAACCCCTGTGGTCAGGGCTAGTCAGGTAGGGGATCGGGCAGGGCAGTTGTGCGGCAGTGTGCGGGCAGGGCAGTACGGCAGGGCAGCACAGGAGCAGTGCAGGGGCAGTTGGGGTCATAAGGGTCGACCAGGTTTCGAACCGGGGGCCTCCCGCTCGCGGGGCGGCAATCGGCGAAAAAACAATGGAAGTGAGGAGGGAGCCGGCGGCCGACCTAAATAGCATACCGGGGAATTAGACACCACAGACACTGTCGCGGGGGAGGTCATGGATCCTCTGCCAAGGCGCCGGGCGGTGTTCGCCGGCGCCTCCGTTGAGCAGTGAGCCTGGGGGTGGGCGCGGGTCGGCCAGATAGCCGGCGGCCCCCACGAGATGAGCCGCCGTGCCGGGGTCCGCGCCCCTCCCGGAGGGTGAAGGCATGCCCGCGGTAGTGTGCGTTGCCTGCGTGCTCCAGGGTGCATTGGGCTCCACCCCGTTATGCCCGCCGAGGGGCGGTGGCCCATCGGCCGGCGGGGTGGAGCTCCGGTCTTGCTGCTTGCCCATCGATGCTGCGTCGGCCTTGCGGCCGGGCTATGCGCTCGAAGGGGAGGGTGGCCGTAGACGCGGTGGCGTCCAAGCCCGGTGTTGCTAAGAAGTGCTGCCGCTCACGCGGCGGGTCTTACGCTTACGTTTACTCAAGGGGGGGGCTACGGTGAATACGACACCCTGTCGCACTCATCGATTGAAGTCAAACCTGTGTCACCCGAAATCCATAGTGTCACTCTTATGGTTTTTTTTTGCAAATTTGCGAAGTGCGGCTTCGGTGTGCATTTTTGCGGCTTCGGTGCCTTTTTTTGCGGCTTCGGTGGGATTTTTTGCGGCTTCAGTGTGCGTTTTTGCGGCTTCCGTGTGCGCCCGTCGCTTACCTGCCCGCGACGACGCTGCCCGCCTTTGCCGCGCCAGCCGCCGGCTTGCTGCAGCCGCAGCGCGCGGTGCCCGACCACCGGCGCGCCCGCCCGCTCGCCTTCTCGCGCCGCCTCTCCGCGCAAAGCCGCTCACGCCGCGCGTACTCAGCCATCGGCGCGACATCACCCCCGCAGGCACCTCGCGACGGGTCGGCGCACTCGTGTGGCTCAACGCGGACCTACGGAGCGACTCCGCCGCGCGGCTTGGCGCTGCCCATGGCAGCAACAGGTGCCGCCCCACCACCCGCCTGCTGCCTCTGCCTCTCTCAGCCATGCGACCCCTCCGCCAATGCACACCTCGAACGCGACGTCAGATCCCGCTGCGACGGGCAACATTCGCGGCGATGAGGCCTCCGCCAGCACTGATCATCACAACTCGTCTGTTAAGCTACACGTTTTTGCCCTGTGCAGGTGAGCGGACCGCTGCAGCCACGGTGGAGCCACGGGTCGGGCGAGGGAATGGCCTTTTGGCGCGGCGCTGCTCTGTGCCTGCGCGCTCATGGCGCGTTCAGGGGTGCGCCTGCGGTGTGTAGACTGCGGGGCGCCGCGATAGCGCGGCGCCGACGATTGTGTCGCTCATTGTCACACCAACAACCCGGTCACAGTGTGTGTGTGCAGTCTGCAGTGCGTCCACTCCGGCGACCGTGACGCCGTCGGCGCTCGTCAAAAGCATCTACTGTGGAGCTCTAAGTGTGGTTGCGTGTTGTACTAGTGGTGCTGCACTAGGCGGCCCGTTTTTAGCAAAAAGAAGATACCACATCGCGCGTGGTCATCGAAAAACCGCATGTTCGCCGGGTCCGTCTGTGTGGGACCTCTTGCTCTTCGTACGGCTCCGAAAACCGCTCCTTAACGACGACTGCGCGGCCCGGCGGTCGATCTGCGCCTTCTCAGCGGTGGAGGGGATGTGGGCGGTACGTGCGGACCGCATGGTACTGCGATGGTTTGACGAGTGCGACTCCCAGCGTCGACTTTTTCGACCCCACGGAGCCCGCTCTGCTGCTCGGGGGGGGGGGGGGGTCTGCAGACCACCCGGCCGAACTTCAGAGTGGCGGTGCTCCTCAAATACCGCTCA